CCATTAAAGGGAGAAAAGGGGCCCCAAAACCACAGAACCGTGCAGCCATTGTCCAAACAGGCATGAACCGCTGAACCAGTGGTTTGTACCCATCTCTACTGGAGAGGAATAAATAAGGCTGTTCCCAGTGGGGCATCCATTCCCCATCCCCAACCATTCCCCTCGAAGGAGATTAGTTCATGATACAGCATCCTTCTGGAGAAGCATTTGGGCAATCTAGAAATGTGGCTGTCAGTGGCCAGTGTGTTCCCCCCCCCCCATGAGATGAAAAACTTGAGATAAAACATACATTCAAAAGCTCCTGGCCTTGTTTAAAACAATCCTCTTTCCAACTTATTTCTGAAAAGAAGGTACCAGATGTTGGGGCAATTTGGCCAGGAGCCATGTTTTGTTGAATATAATGTTAGTTAGAGAATACAGGAGGATTAAAAATGGCACTGGACAAAAGATCAAACAAAACAGATCAGATGTGAATCTGTGACTCTCAGATTATTTATCTTGCCTTTTATCTGTGCTCAGATCATCAAACAAAACAGATCAGATGTGAATCTGGGACTCTCAAATTATTTATCTTGCCTTGTGCTCAGATCGGTGTGGAGAAATTTAATCAAAAATAAGGATATCTTTCCTACTTTTCAGAAACTGGGGGGAAATGCAGCATGCTGTAAGTGCTCAGTGGTTATGGATTAGAGATGGGCATAGGCCTTCTTTGCAGATGACTCTTCTGGAACTTGCCTGGCAATGAACCACATGTCAGACTAAAGATGGTAGTAATGGTGAGATAAAAGTACCTTGACTCCTCTGCTAATTTCCCCAAACACCTTTACAAGCCTTGTCATTCATCATCATCATGTGCCATTAATTCAATTCTGACTTATGGCGACCCTTTTCAGGATTATCCTGGTAGAGAATACAGTACTCAGAAATGGTTTACCGTTCTTGTCTTCTGGGGGTGTTCTGGAACTGTGTAGCTTGCCCAAAGCTACCCAGGCTGTCTCTATTTGCAGGAAGCACAGTGAGGAACTCCCAACTTCTGGGCTCCATTGCCAGGTACTTAAATCACTGAGCTATCTAGCCAGCAGCTAAGCCTTCTCATTACAGTATTTATCTGAAAGTAGGGAACTGTGAAAGTAGCTACAATGGAAAAGATGGGGGACAATGTATGTGTTTTCATGTATGCATCTGTTTTCAATTCTTCTTGCCTCCTCTCTGATTTTGCCACTCCAGAACATGACTGAAACATGGGACTTGTGGTCTGAAAGTATGGGTAGACTTTATTTTCCCCATATTCCATCATTACTACACCTCCTGACTGTGTTTGTGAGTGTTCATTCTAGTGAACGAGACCAGCATTGTATTCGCGAAGGCTTTCACAGCCGGGATCTAATGGTTGTTGTGGGTTTTTCAGGCTCTTTGGCCGTGTTCTGAAGGTTGTTCCCTCTAACCACTCTGTGCTCTCCTCTGAAGATGCCGGCCACAGAGGCTGGTGAAATGTTAGGAAGAACAACCTTCAGAACACGGCCAAAGAGCCAGAAAAACCCACAACAACCACAAGAACAGCATTGTTAGCTTAATTATGATGATTAAGAAGACAACTGGGTGATTTTTACAGGTCAGTGGGTGAGGTCTGAAAATCGGATTTTGTGTTTGGATTGGATTCTGACTTAGTGTTGACTTTATTACAAACTTTGATTGCAAATGCAAGTTTTGAGGATAATGAAATGTTTTGCCCTCCACAGTTGTTGCATTTTTCCTGCACATTTTAATCTTATGGGCCTAATCTTAGATAGAAGTAGCCCTTGTGTTTTTTTTTCTTTTTTCTTTTAAAGACAACTCCTGCAGACATCAACAACACATTGCAATCATGTCATCTGAGCTAAAGATGCAACAAAAAGAATTTTGGATAGCAGGTAGTGGGAACCCTGCCCTTTAATAAAACCAGAGCTGAAAATTGAACAGCCTCAGTTTGTGCAAAGCCTTCTTTCTCCAGTTGTTGCCAGAGAGTGCCATCTGCTGGTTAAGTGATGCAAAAACACAAATGTTCTGTCTTTTCCATTTCTTGGTTACAAAATGTTTCTTGTAGTGCTCTTTATGATCTTACTCTAGCCTTTCCTCTAATTTATCCTTATCTGTTCACCCATAATTTTTTTTTTTGTTTTGCTCAGCCTAATATTATTATTGTTTTGTCCTATCTCTTTGGCTCATTTTCAGTTGTTTATATAGGCTTGGAGGGTTCCACTTGTTAATACACTTTTTAAATATCTGTCTCGACTTCTTTCTTTAAGCTTTTCCTGCACTTTATTTCCCTCTATAAACTTGGGATAGTTCAGCTCCAGTCTTTTATGGAACAGAGTGGAAACTGCTGGTGGGAAAGATAAATTGTAATCTGAATACTGAGGAGGAGGAGGAAAGGGTGCTAGAGACATACTGTATGTAGGTTATCCACATGTGGGAATTTTTTTAAGAAACAGAAATGATAAGCACACACAAGCACCTTCATCCTTATTGGTGGCTACCAAGGCTTGCAGCACAGGGCTGTGAAGCCAGAAGAACAGATTAGGGATCAATTTACTTTTACCGCCTCTTCAGAGTTGTGAAGCACTGGGGTGGGGTTGATGGGGAAAGGCCCTCCACATTGACAGTGGTGGCAGCCACGTGTGCAGTGATATAAGGTAGTCAATTCCGCCTACACAGGGGGACCTTTCTGGGTGGTTCTATGCAGGTTAATACTGCTAATACCTAACTTGGGTTAGGTGGAAGATTTCCACACAATTTCCCTTCACAGATCTCGTTGAATAAATGAGGCGCTAATCAATGGATGCAGACTTGAGTCTCAGGACTTGCTGTCAAGTCAGACTGAAATCACATTGGTGACTCAAATTGGACTTTTCCCTCCCAATGACTCGGACTCCACATGCAACTCAGGACCCATCCACCCTTCCCTTTTTTTTGGGGGGGGGGAGCGTGTTCTTAGTAGGGATTCAGACTTGGGGCTTGGGACTCAGGAATGCGTATAAAAAACCCAGACTTTGGACTCAGATCCAAAGACTTGTCAACATCCCTCCTAATTAAATCAATTTATAATTATTTGACTTCCCCATTCTTTTCTTTTCCTAAGGCTAAAGTGCAGGTTTCTCTCCCTCCCTCTCTTCCCTCCCCCCCACATCATATCTCTCTTCGTGTACGTATGTAATCTGTAGGAGGACTGGCACGGGAGAGTGGTCTCTTCCTCAAAGTTTATTCCCCAGAGGTATTGGTCTTTGCAGTAGAGGAAGAGGAGATTCCAAGCACAGTATGAATGGTTGTTTATTTTGCCCTCCCTGGTTAAGTCTCCTTTCAGGAATAATTTGCATCATGGAATCCATGTTAGGGAAAGGATTAAGAAAGAACCTTCTTCCCCTTCCAATTGTAATCAGATTTCTCTGTCACTGCTACTACAAATCTCTTAAACAGAATGTAATCTGAACCACGTTGTGTCAGTCATTTTTAAATAGTAAGACATTTAAAGCTTTGTAAGGTGAATTGTAATTTTCATATTTTTTTTGTATTATAATGTAGGTAGTGATAATGATGGTCATGGCAAATAGTGTCTCTGCACCTTAATTGGCCTACAGCAGCAGCTGACATTCGTTTAGTCGTGTCCGACTCTTCGTGACCCCATGGACCAGAGCACGCCAGGCCCTCCTATCTTCCACTGCCTCCAGGAGTTTGGTCAAATTCATGTTGGTTGCTTCGCAGACACTGTCCAACCAAACAGCTGACATATCATATCTTTTCTCAACAGAGCCTCCCACATGGGTGATAAAACCGGAAAGTGGGGTTTACAGTGTTGGTGGAAGCTTTGTCTTGTTGTGTCAAGCTATTGGCTACCCTGAGCCGACGATCAAGTGGAAAAAGAATGGCATTCCCATCAAAGGTAAGTACAGGGTTCTCTCATGCAGTGCAACAGTATCAGGCAGCTGTGTAAACACTCCCAAGTAGAGCAAATGATTTGCAAGCTCCCCATTTCTTGAAGTGTTTGTTTTCTCTGGTCCTGTCAATTACAAATGTTTCTTATTAATAACAGAAGAATCTGGATCGTATAAGATCAACCCTGATCTGCTATTCTATTGGTTTAAAATTGCCTTTAACAACTGGCTTTTTTCTAAACAAATCCTATAATGCAGTTATTAATTGGGCATCATAGGATCTGAAAAGTGTAAAGAACACTGTATGCCCTTCAAGGCAGGAATGCATCTACAAGCATGCACCCATGCATCACCCACAGCACTGCCTCTGTACAAAGCCAATGAGTCTTTAAAGCACTTTGATAATAGATTTCCTAAGCTGTACTACAGAAGCTATTGGAGAAACTTATAGTGAATCATGTAGAAAAGCTTCATTTCTGCCTCTTATGTGGCTATTCAGGTCATTGCAACCAGTTTTCTTCTTTACCTACTAACTTCACAGGACTCTCATATAATGGGAAACTGTTGGTTTGCAATATTCTGCAGATAATTTAGGGCCTAATTACACCTGTCAAAAGAATCCCATTTATACCTATTCTTTCCATACCTGTGTTGTACCAGTACATTTATTTTCATGGTAATGTAGTATATATAGTGGCAGGAATGTTCCTGTTGTTTTAAACAATATCAATTAATTTCTTTCTATTTGAAACGTTGTCGGCTGCACCACAGAATCAATTTATTTTGTCAAATGTTTCCTGGGGCATTTTTTTAAAAAACTCTAATAGGTACATCGATATGGCGGAAAGGGATTCCCATTGGGGAACATTTGATCTGTGGTGCTTGTGGCTCTGGAAGTAGTGCATGGCTCACTGTAGTCCCAGCTGTCACCTGTGTAGCTGTGCCATTTGGCAAACAATAGGCTGAGGTGTCAAGCAGTAAACCACACAAATTGTCCCTGTAAAACCTCAGTTTATTGATATATTGATATACTGGCCACGAAAACTTTTCAAAATATATATATATATATCTCAGGGCAGCCACATGGCAATCATGGCAGCTGCCTTCCCTGGGGACTGAGGATGGGAAATAGAATCAATAGAAACATGCACACATGCTATACCGGTAAGGAATGCATTGATGCATCATCAGTAGAATTTAAAACCACCTTCTTGGCATGGGGAAAATAAACCAGAAATAAACCACTGACCGGGAAAATGAGTTGATCTTCACCATGCATCATGTGCTTAGAAATTTATGAAATGATTTAAATCACTGGTTCTTAACCTTGGGTTACTCAGGAGTTTTGGACTGCAACTCCCGGAAGCCTTCACCACCAACTGTGCTGGCTGGGGTTTCTGGGAGTTGCAGTTCAAAAACATCCGAGTAACAAAAGTTAAGAACCGCTGATTTAAATGTTCTTTAAAAACCAGCCAAATAACAGGGGTTCTTTTGCCAGGTATGATTGAGCCCTTAGTTTGAAATACACTTTCAGAAATGTTTATTTGAAGCAAAATAAAGAAGTCTTTATCATATTTGATAAATGTTTCAGAGTCAAAGCAGTTGGATGGTGGGCTTTTCAGCTAGAAAGTGGCATGAAACAAGGGCTTTCACGGCTTGTTTTGTTTGGCATTTGGTCACCAGGAAGAAATAGCAGGTTCTGTTTTCCTGTTGATTTTGCAGACACAACAGCTCTGAAGAGGGATTAACCATGTTAGCACCTCTTGTTGTGAATCTTTCTGGATTTAGCAAATTCACTTTCACTTGGGTTCCATCTAGTGTCCCACTGAGGAATTGCAGGGAAGTGATTTATTTACAAAAGCTTGGTTGAGCAAGAGCAGAATACAGTTAAAAAGCCCTACATTCCCTTCAACTAAAATTACACTGAGTGCCTATCTACACTTTAGAATTAAATTAACTTTGTTCTCAGCCTTTCTTTTCCTAACATACCTTCTAGTTCAAAAACAGAGCCATGACAATTAAAGTGGCATGAAATCAATAAGTTGCAAAATGCAGATACACTTCTTAATTAATTAATTAATTTCTACAGTTGCCAAGTGAGATTGTTAGAATTCTAGTACAACCCACAAGATAGCCATTTCTTTCTCTTTCCCCCCATGTTTACTAGTTTTTTTCTCTCTGTCTACTCTCACTGCTCATTCAACATTTCCCTCTCCTTCATTTCTTACTCCCAATGTACTGTAATTAGGCAACTGTTATTATTCTCATTCTCTTCCCCCCCCCTCTAGGTAGATACATGAATGTGCATGCTTAGAAGTCACAACAAGGACATTTTAGCAGGCAGCTAAGTAACACAGCTGATTTGGACTAAGCTAGTGACTCTAGAAGGTCAGAAGTGAAAGCTCAAAAAGGATGGTTCTATCTGCACCCTGCATGAGCTGCAGATATTTGGATCAAAGCTCATGGTTTCCTAGAGGAGACCTAGTGTCTATTATTGTCATCGAACCAATAATATTGCATGCTACAAATAGATTTTAATTTGTTAAGTATTCAATTTTTGAAGTGAAATAAAATTGAGATGAATACCCTCAGTGTCCCCTTAGTGTGAAGGCTAAAATTCGGTCTCAGTTTCACATCTCAGAACTATGGTGGAGACAGACATGCACCCACATGCACACATTTTTATTATTAGAGATTAAACTCTATACAGCTTGGGAAAAGAATATTTGGAAAACCATATTGTTCCATATGAATTGACTTTAATGTCTTGGGCAGTGTTTTTTTTTGTAAAATCAATGATATAAACATAATAATAAGAACTGGGCGTGCAGTTTTACAATTTGTGTTGTGCTCTTGGCTATGTTTTTGACAGATATTGAAACAAAATCCAGCAGAGCTGTGTTTTCCACAAGGGAAATCAGTGTGACTGATCTGATGCTAAATGACTCAGCAGTGTACCAGTGTGAGGCTACCAACAAGCATGGCACCATCTTGGCCACAGCAAACATTGATGTTCTTGGTATGCATCTTACAACTTGTGATACCTCTTTATGGAGAGATGCTACTTACTGACAGAAATCATAGTTCACATGCAGAAGGTTATAGATCCAGTCCCAAACTTGGCATCTATAGGAAAGGCTAGAAAATGTGCCTGTCTGAGTCCATGGAGAGCCATCACTAGTCAGTATAGACAACAATGAGCTAGATAAACCCTTTTCTTTATATTTGGATGGAAAGAGCTTGAGATTTGGGGAAAACTTATATATTTATCCATATAGGGTCATAGCTTTGAAACCTTGATTTTTTTAATATTCTAGCTTTGAATCTCTATGTACTCAACCACGTTAGTGCTGTACAGGTGTTGCCACCTCTTTATTTCCGAGAGGCTCCATGTGTTAAACATATGATAGGTAAATACAGCATGATCTTCCCCATATTGAGAATAGTAACACCTGTTGAATCTCATTAGTGCAGATACATGAGACCTGAATACCTGTTGATTTTGGCCAGTACAAAAGGCAAATAATGTTATTTTAGTTTATTTTAGAGAAATATATGAAGATGCACAAAATCTTTATTTAAGATGAAGAGAGCTTGGAACTCAGAAAGAAGAAGAAAAAGCAGATTTTCACATCCAAAGCTCTGAGTTATTTATAGAAACTCAAAATATTCCCATATCTGTAGTGGTGGTGACGTCTTTTGGTAGGGATATAAAGAACACTTGCATAATTCTTAGCTCCCATTGATTTAGTTGTCTCAGCTTAAGGAGAAAAGAAGTAACTTTTCTTTTCTCTTCAGGGTCTCCATAATTTGCATAGAATTTGCAGAAAACACCACAGAAGAAGCCTGCTAATTAAATGTAGAAGCAATAAAGCAATAGCAGCCAAATGAGGATTTGTGTTCCAGGTCAATAATTCTTACAATCTTTTTTCATCTTCTTGTCCATCCATATATTTCTTGGTGTTTTTTTTTTCAGAGATTCCTCCAGAAATATTAACTCCAGATGGTGAAGGGTATGTTGCAGTTGTGGGCTATCCAAGCCACCTGTACTGTCAGTTTTTTGCAGTACCACCACCTGATGTCTCTTGGTAAACCTCATTTTCATTATTCCTCTTTTTCATAGGTTGATCTTTGCAAGTAATCCCATCAGACTATGTCTAGCTGTGGGCCCATCTAAACGTGCATTGCTTCTTTTTAAAAAAACTATTTAAAAATAATGTAATAAGATGCCAATAAAATGAGTTTAAATATACTTGTATTTTAAAGATTTCAAAGCAATCGTGTGACAAGGTTAATGAAGCTGTATATTGTTTGTTAGCAGTGGAAATGATAAGGTTCCCCAAGAACTAGTATTCTATTTCCTTTATCTTCAGGAAGACAAAGGTCAACAGAGCTTAGTTTGCTTAGAGGATTTCCTTGCTCAGGAGCAATTTAGATGGATTAATGAAAAGCAAATGTTATTTCTGAAAAGACACCAAAACAGTTACATCCCCAAGAGGCCTTTGTGTCGTTCTTGAAGTGTACACACAACTTTTAACTTAGAACTTAATTTGGACTGTTGAAATCTAGAGAAAAATTTTGTGTCCTTGAGTCTTCATCCTATGAGGCCTTCTTTATCCTTTGAGCCCCACTGTTGTGGAAGGTCCTTTGGGCCAAACAATCAGGCAGTTAGAACATCATCTTAAAGCATTCCTCTAACTCCTCGACCTTGCCTCATTTTTTATCTGTTACAAACCCAGACCAAATATATACTAGTTACATGGCCAGAGTGGCCACTTAAGGGCAATTGTCTGAGTGGCTTTCCCATCCATCTGACTCACCTTCACATGACTGATCACCTACTGGTTGTGAAATGAAGCAGGAGAAAACTACAATGTGATTGTCCTTCATCATGTGGGTTTCTACTATTGGATTTTGGCTGTACAATTTCAGGCCACAAGCCCTGTATTGCTGTTCCACTGCACAAAATTTACCTGCTGTTCCATTTGACAAATCCCTCCACCTCAAGCACGGAACACATACTCCTAGTGAAGCATAGAGCATGTAAAAAACCAAATATGTGCTGTTTTCCAGATGTTTGGCACAGGTTTCGGACTATCAACCATGTTTTGTATGTGTATGGTCAGAGTTTTTGGCACATAGTGATACCTAACTATCAAGGGTGTTTGGCATAGGTTTAGAGCATGTGACAAGTTTAGGAGTTTTGTGTTTTAACTACAAACTTAAATATGAGTATTCTGTTTTAGTAACTAATATGTATATTTAGAAGGGGGCTGAGATGAGGGGTTGGTAGTTAAAACAGCTGTTCTGGAGGCCTTCCAGCATTGTATACACATAAAGGTTGTATAATTCATCCTGAAATTCAAACAATTAACTCTTCATTCATTCTGCTGCAGAGAAGGGGCTTTTGAACAGAGACTAGACGGCCATCTTCCATTGAAGCTTTAGGTTTGAATTTTCTGCTTTATCAGGATCCTTCCAGCTCTACAAATTCTATGAATCTATGATTCTAAGATGTGGGGGAAACAAAAATAGCAGATGGAAAAGCATTCCATTCTGCAAGAATCCTCACTAGAAACTGGGCTGAGGCAAAACTCAAAATATGTTTGCCAATTGTCCTGGAGCTGTTATTACCTGGAATTTGTTGTGGCCAGTAGTCAAAGCAAAGAAGTTCAATTTGATTGAATCAAAATAGTACTGGGGAACATAAAAATGCACTTAAAAGCATTGTGTAGCTTTATACAATAGATGCTTAAGAAAGGAAAAAACTGGGGATGAAAAAATAATTGGTTGAATTTGTTAATGTCCTCAATGATCAACAAATCCTTGAATTTTGAAGTACTTCAGTATGGAAAAAAATCTTGGGATTTTGTAGGATGTTGCCATGACATTTAAAATGATATTGAATTCTTCTAGTTGTAGTGTTGATATAGTGTAGTAGAGTGATCCTAACTTCCAATTCCACTGCATGAATGGAGTTAGGAAGAGGGGGGGGAGGCACCTTTACTGAAGGTGAGAAATGGAGGATATGCTCCATCCAATCCCCAGTACACCTACAGATCACTTTGCAGATGAGAGGCAGGACTACTGCTGGCAACAATTTCGGAGTAGGAATGGAGGATTTCAGGGATATACAGAGAAAGGACAGAGGAGTATCCATGGATTGGCATCCAAGGACCTTTCATTCCTATAGGAGGCCCCAAGACCCCTCCCTCTTCTTCAGAAGTTTAGATAATCTGTAACAAAGAAGCATATGGGACAAGTAAAATACAATCTGCTTTCATACCATGCTGTACACCTCTAACTACACATTCCCATTGCATTCACTTTAGGAAAGGCAGAGCAAAAATTTAAAAGTGTGACTTCAGCTAATCCTAATAAAAAATTGTATTCATTTATATGTTAAAGCTTATTTTCTTCTCAAAAATAAGAAATGTTCCTATTAATTTAATGATATGTCCTTGCTTCTTTTTCAACTTCACAAGAAAGCTAAGGCCTGGCAACCCTGCTGTTACAGTATGACTTTCCTGTGACTTCAAACATGTTTCAAAATATGTTTTATGGAAATAAACCCTTCCACACAGATTTGACAGTTTGAAAAATATATTGGTGCTTATTAGTGTTTGGGCACTTATTGCACAGTTTTTTTTGGTCACTATTTAACTTCTAAACCATCTTTTTTGCAGTGTTATATTTAAAGGGTTTGATTTATTTGAGTAATTATTAATAACAGGCAGTTATGAAAATGCTGTTTTAATCAGCATGATCCTGGTTGTCTTGCTAGGACTAAAGATGACAGCATGAAACGTCTTGATGCAGATCAAAATGGAACCTTGGAGATCAGAGTCACAAGGAAGGAAGATGCTGGGTTTTATACCTGTGTGGTGAAGAATATTGCAGGGAGACGTGGTCTCACGGCTACTCTAACTGTCAGAGGTAATTCTTAAAATGAATGTCAGTTACAATTAAAGATTTGGTTTGTTTAACTGCACCTAATAATTCTGAAGTGAAATCCTAGGAAACACCTCCATCAGTATGTAAATAGCTGAGGCAGTGCAATGTGTAAAACTTTACATTTACTCATATTTTCCATGTATAAGACACCCCCATGTATAAGACCACTTTTCTAATCCAAAATTAAGAAATCTAAGTGGAGCTTAGCAAGTGTAGGGGAAAAGGATAAAAGTGCTGCAGAATCGCTTTGATCCCTGCTTTCCCCTCCACTTGTTCTTGTTCTCTCCTCAGCTTACTTCTGTGTATAAGATGACCCACAATTTTTAGTCTAAATATTTTAGACAAAAGTATAGTCTTATACACAGAAAAATACAGTAAGTAGATGGGCATTGTGGATGGGGGTTGACAGCTTCATAAAAGGCCTCTCCATCATTCTCTCAAGAATTCTACCTCATGTCCTACCAATGGAGGGTGATGGTAGTGTAATGGCCCCGCTGCAGTGAGATCACAATGCAGGGATATGGGTCCCCTATTTTGCTACCAGAAAGTAGGAGTGTTTTTGTGAGATTTTCTGTTGCATGTACCAAAATAGTATGATTAGCATAGAGAACAAGGCAATTTGACTTGGGTGTGGGAGGCAGTATTTTTTTATTCAGGTAGCAAAAACTCTTGGTCTGGCCCTGATTAGGAGACCACAACAGACTAACTCCAAGTCTGTCACAGTTAAAAAATATTGCACAGTAGTTTTCAGAAAACAGAATCTGAAAGAAAATCAACAATCTTGTTTGGGAAGAAACAAATAAAATAAGCCCGATAGGAAAGGCTGAAGAAATTTCTTAAGGAACATGTGTTCATCCTTGTCTTAGGATATGCATAATAGGATCCATATCTATCTTGTATTGCTCTATGACTAGATAAGACCACAAAGCATTTTTCTTGTCAAACAGTAATATCACAAATGACAGAAGAGTACGTGAATGTTTTTCTTGACTTCTTAGATGCCACCAAAATTTCTGTTATACCCAAGAATCCACAAGTTTTGAAATCACATCCAGTTTCATTAAGATGCCATTCTGAATGTGATCCACATTTGAAACATGACTTAAAAATTTCTTGGAGAAAGGATGGACAGGAACTTGCCAAGAATGACACCGAAGATGGGAGGTAAAAAAAATAGCATGTTATCTTTATTCTGCTTTAATTTTGAATAACTGATCTTGTTCTGTAGGAATTTAAAAGGATACTTCTGAATAACCACTAGTCTCTTTTCATGTGACAGGGTTATGGTTCTGCTATTGCTCACCCCCTGTAAATAAGTGGGCCAGAGACCAAGGATGCAGTCCAGTTTCCCACATTTAAGAAGAGCCACATTTTAATTAGTTTGGAGAGGTCACAAAGCAGTCTCATGCTGAGATGGGGTCTGTCCCTCTCTCCTCCTCAGTTAGCTGTAGTTCAAGCTAACTGTGCCCTGCAGGCAAACTATAGCTAACAGCTTTCAGCTGGTCAATCATGCTTTGTAAATTCCTATTAACCTCCTTCCTTAAATCCAATGACTCAAGAGGGAACAATATGTCCCTTTAGTCTTTCCATTAGTTCCTGACCTGGTCCTGCCCCCTGAGATGCAAAGTCTTGAGAATCCTTTCCTACCAAACAAGTGTCTGTGGTAATCACAGTTCATTCTAACTCCTCTCCCTGCTCACTGCCTCCAGAATGGCTGCCTTTTTAACACAAGTCTCTCCCAGGCTCAATGAAGAGTGGATGCAAAGAATTATCTTGTGACATAATGTCCTTGAAAAGATGAAAATGTGTCTCTTGACTGCTAGTGAACAGCCACAGGCTACGCTGACCCTGTGGACAGGTGGGCCAAGCCAAGAACCAAGGAGAAGTCTGTGGGATAAAGAGAGTGTGTCCTGTCTCCTATACTCTTCAACTGAGTGGCAGCATTCCACCCCTAGTCCCTCTCCTCACTTCTATACTCCTCAGGGAGACCAAAGGCAACCTTTACCTCCCACGTCCTGGGATGGAGTACAAATCCAAGTTATATAGTGATGGGAGGACAGATTGGTTTGGATTTTAGTATGAATTATCCTAATTTGCTCTTCCCAAATGAAGTACAGGCCAAAATGCAGTTATATTTCTATATTCATACTTATCTGAATTTTGTTATTTAGTTCTCTATTAATCAAAAAATGTGCACATTAGGGGAAAGCCCACACAGAAATATTTATACTGATGAAAATAAGGTAGAAGTCCAATTCATTAAGGAAAATTACTTTAACATTGCATATATTAGCACTAAAATGTTCACTAAGACTTGGGAAAATAACAAACTGGTGCAGAATTGGGATGGCATAAGCTTAATACAGAGCAGAGGAGCACCACGTGAAAAAACAAACATACATATTATAACTTATTTGCTAATATCAGTTGACTGGTTGAATAACGGTGGGAACATAAACAGCTGCCATGGGCCCGAGCTATCTAAAAGACCGTTTCTTCCTGTTTGATCCTACCCAGTATTCAAATCATCAAGAGAGGCCTTTTTCGGTCCCACCACCCTCATAGGTTTATTTCGTGAGGGCACAGGAGAGGGCCTTCTCTGTCACTGTCGTCTCAGACTCCGAACTCCTTCCCACTGGAGGCCAGCCTGGCCCCATATTTAACTCTTCAGGCAGGCTTTCCTTTAAATGCTTGATTGATCAAGGGGATTTTTAAGGGATTATTTTATTCTGTCGTTTTATGTGGGTTTTTTTAAAATATTGCTCTTATTTGTGAGTTTTTAATGTATCTATTTCATGATTTTTAAATTTCATATATTTTTTAAATTTTGCTTTTAACTTATTTTAATATTGTAAGCTGCCTTGGATCCATTAGGAGAAAGGCAGTATATAAATATTTTAGATAAATATTTTAAATAAATAAATACCGTATTTTTCGCTCCATAAGATGCACCTTTCCATAAGATGCACCAATTTTTTAGGAGAAGAAAACAGGAAAATATAATTTGTTTTCTTCGCTCCATAAGACGCACAGACTTTCCACCTCCCTGTTTTGTGGGAAAAAAGTGCATCTTATGGTGCGAAAAATACGGTAAGTAAATTAGAGTGAGTCAGACCACTGACCTTTCTAACCCTATATTGTCAAACGCTCAGTGATGATACTGGCTCTCTAGGGTTTAAAATGGATTTTCTCCAGCAGATGCTTGGAATAGAGCCTGAGGCATTTTGAATACAAATGGATGCCCCCCACCCCAGCAACAGCCCTTTGGCTTTGATTGTATCTTTAATATGGACCATTTATGAATTATTATTTATGTTATCTGTTTTGCTCACATCAAGGGAATATTAGACAACCCTCTGTCAGATGTACTGTGATTTTGATCCCTGCATTGAGCACAGGGTTGGGCCCGACGGCCTTATAGGCCTCTTCCACCTCCATTATTGCACGATTCTGTGAAAATTAACAGAAACGTTCAGAAATACATAATTGCCAGTAACAAGTTCCATGTATAAAACAAAATCAATGGAAAAGTTACAGTGCATTATTGAAAGAAATCAGTGGAGATAGAGTCTGTAGTTGTACAGAGACCCTGCAGTCCAACAGTTGCATCTGATTCTGATTATTTTTCTAATAAAATCAATATAGTCTTTCTTATTGGTGTTATTAAGGTTCTGAACAAATTCATAAAGCCTAAGAAAGCAGTGTAATTAGCAGTGATGGTCTTTTCTCAAAACAGTAGCATAGTTTGCTGCATATGTTTCCAGCAGGTTTCTAAGTGATCATGGAAGGACCTCTAGTGGTGAAGTAACCATTTGAGTCAATGTCACGTTCTCTATATACTGTAATCAGAGATGTAGCTTTAATGGAACACATAACTGTCAAAACTTGTCAAATGCGAATTATCACCCAGTTAAGTTGTATGACAAGGTATTTTACTTTTTTTTAGTCAGAACAAGTTAAAAAAAAGATATTTTACCTTGTGAATTCATTAAACGTTTTTACCAAAAATGAGAAAAGTCATTTGGTAGGTAACTTCCAGAAAGCAGCATCTATTCTGGCCATGCCATGCTGGCTGGGGTTTTCTGTAAGTTGTAGTAGTAAAAAAAGAAAGAGAAAATATGTCTTCATTCATTTCCTTTTTTTTTTTAAAGAGAAAAAAGCTTAGTCCCAACAAATCCTTTGATGCAGCTCTACTGCTGAAGAGGATCTCTTAAATAAAATAAAATAAATTACTGTAGAAGGGAAAAGAAAGATAATGTTCAGATATCTGACAAGATTTCATTTTAGCATTCTGTACAGGCTGATTAAAGTATCACAGATCTGTGACCTTACACAATCTGCTTCTCTGCATCAACCTCTAATACCGGTCTCTATTTTGTTTTGTGTTTTCCTTGTTTTTTCTTTCCTTTCTCTTTAATGTCTTGCTTTTCTCCCCACCCCACCCCGATCCTATTCTTTTCTTCTTTTTCAAAAATGTAATGCCAAATGAGGCAAATTAGAAGATGTAAACATGATGACTGAGATATATTACCATGGAAGATACATAACTCTATACACATCAGTGACATGCGGGAGGCAGAGTGGGAAGGGATCCGTGGGACATTTCTAGAGGATTCTTGGCTAGTTTTATTCTGTCAGTATACTGTACTTCGTAAGAATCCCAGGGAGAGTAACAATGAAGTCAACAACAAAAACAATACTACAGGAAGTAATAAAACAGTTGGCACCAAGATGAGCAGCAGGAAAACAGTTACTCATAATAACTATGTAAAATGATGTCTTAGCTTGGTGCTAAAATATGAACATGCAATATGTATATCTTGGAGTAGGACGCTATAGATTTCTAGGCCTTACCCTATCCGTTTCCCCCTGAAGAATGGGTTAAAGGGGAACTCTGCCCAAATCTAATAGCATATTGTTCTATGAATTCTATCATCAGTTGTATCATTGAGAAGAGAGTAAAGGGGGTTTATATTGTAATTTAAAAAATCTTAGAGACTTTTCACAGAGACTTTCAATAAACAATAAATTAAAAAAGAGCTGGCTGGCTTTGAGCCAAATATGTCCTGTATAATAGCTGCATGTAGTCCTTGGCTGCGTACCTAATAATGCCTTCAAATTCTTCAACAGCACTGATTATTTAGTGGGATCTTAAATGCTCACAAATGTTAAGTTGGATATAAGTGGGTTAAAGTCTACAAAAGCTCCTGCAAGTAAGGTGTGTTAGCTTTTGAGATGTAGCATGCCTTTTTGTTCTTGTTCTTTCAATAACAGACTAACATGGCTACAACCCAGCAAATTCCCCAAAAAAAGAAAGAAAAAAGAAAAAGAAAAAACCTACCACACTTTAGTTTTACATCATACATCTTTTTTTGTATGGTGCCTGCAATATAATTATTGGTGCACAATACAAAATAAAAGGACCTGTGAAGACCTTGCCTATAGATAACATCTTAGTCAATGAGATTCTAGGGAGCTATGCTAATTATAAGAGATTTTGTTTATTTCTGCTTTATAAGATGCAAATGTTGTCAAAATTCAGTCCTATTTACCATAACTCTGGAAACCTCATAAAACTATTGAAGTGAAAATTAAAAATTGTATACTATCTTTTGAACTAAAGTGCTGCAAAGAAAAATACTGTAATGAAGCAAATTCCTGCTTTATAGCTACCGTGAATTAATAAAATTAGGTTAGGGGTGATTCAAACTAATTCCAAATTAATGCTAGTAACCAGAGCTCTGTGTGTGTCCCTGCTTGTGAAACGAATCTGGTCATAAAATGTGGCTTTTGCATTGCTTCTGTGGAATCTGGCTTAATTATTCTTCTGAGCTTGCTTTTGTAGGACGACTTTCATGCTTTATAAAGTGAGAGGGCAAAGATTAATAGGCTGGTTTTTATTATTGTTGTATCATGTGTGCATAATTCATATTGTGAATAATTTAATTCATATTGTGAATAATTTGTATTGTTCCTTACAGAATAATTATCGAGAGGGACACATTGTTTATACAAAACGTGGAATTAGAAGACCAGGGAGTGTATACCTGTATAGGCAGTACATCTCTAGACAGTGCTACAGATGATTCCCGCATAACTGTCCTCCGTAAGTTGTCCATGTCTTTATCTATTAAGTTTGCTATCAATTTAAATCCTTATTGTAACATCTGAGCACTGCTTAATTGTCTTTGTGAGGACTTTTGAGTTCCAATGAAATATCAACTAGTTTTGCTATACTGTGTGTCTGTGAATATTTCTCTGAAGAGTGTAAATCTTTGTTTGCTTTATTCCTGCAGGTCAGAATTTTAAAAAATTGGCTTCTTTGTCAGGTGGAATTAGGAATTTTATGCATTTTCCACTTTTTGTGCAAGATCTTAGTTTTGTGCAAAAAGTGTATTGCACAAAAGTTATGTAAATACAAGGTTCTTGCATAATTTTTTTTCCTAATGCTATTGTCAGTGCAAAAGAAAAGCTAGTCTTTTCACTCATTCCACAGCTGACAGTTTTTACAACAGGATATCTAAATGTGTTGAGACATATTTTATCACAGAAGAGCAACTAAGAGCATATTTTTCACCCTTACATTCACCACACATTAGTGTCACATTTTTGCTAGGATTTGTAGTGTTTATATCAGTTTTATAAGAAAGCTGGGCATGAAGAAGACAATGCAAGATTGCATCAACTTTAGATAGGCCTTTTCTCGACCAGGCTGCTTCTAACTCTTATCTCTAAACACACAAATACCCATTCTTGATTTGTTTGAATTCATTTCCTTCACTGTCCTTTGTCCCATTAGCACATCACAGTCCTATGTCCCATTACACGCACACATACAATAAAAGTAAATTAGTAAAGGGATATCAAAGTGGACTAGGAGAGAAAAGGTCTGTTCAGGCCTCATAAACTGAGGTTAGTGTAGATCACCGTCTTATACACAGTTGTTTTTTATGTGTGTTTTCTGCATTTCTTCAATCTATAAACAGGCAGGGTTAACATGTTTAGCAGTGAAAATATCTAGATTTCAGTATCCATACAGGTTTGGAACCTTGCTCTCTTCTTAAGTCGCTTCAAGATATGGCAAATTGACAGTGCAAAGAGCTGGATCAAATAGGGTCGCTTGAGGTCCAGAATGTTGTTTGGATGCAAGGATTGCACCAGACATTGAGCTGACCCCAAGCAACCCTATTTAGCACACACCAGCCCACTCCAAAAGAGCCCATGTAGACAAGTCTTTATTGGCCTAAGTTGCTTCTGCTCCATTTTCTTCTTTGTCATCTGTGCTTTCTATGCATCCTTGAAACCTACCTAATGTCACCAAGTCTAGTTTAGCTAGTAATTTCTTTTTGCAAGGCAGACGCTGCCATTCCTACCTCTTTCTTTCATTAGGATTGTATAGGCAGTACAAAAGTGGAAGCCAAAATAGTATATTGCCTACAGTAGGAAAACATGAATGTAAGAAATGCAGATTAAAACACTTACTCAGCTGTTTGTGGCCTTTGATTCATTGTTGTCTCAGAACTGAAAATCTCATGGGGTTCTTGTGAAATGTTCAGCACAGACCATGTCTTTTCAGAAATAAATCCCATTCAGTTCAGCAAGGTTTACTCCCAAATGTGTGTAGAGTTAAGGCTTAAGTGCTTACTTTTGCTTGACCTAAACCTGCAAAAGCATAACAGGAACCACCACCATCATTATCATCATCATCCTAATAGTTTAAAAGAGAGATTAAAAGAACTTCCCAGTTCTTTTAATCTTCATAGTATAACTGTTTTAAAACAACAATGACAACAAAGCACCGCAAACCCACACATTCATTTGTTATCTTTCTCCTGCTGGATACCTGCAGTGGTCTGCCATTTGCAGGACTGGTCTGATATTTTCTCATTAAAATTGATGTCATGCTTTCTAGACAATTCATATATCTGATAGAATTCTTGCAGCTCTCAAAACAAGATGTCAGAATAATAGCATCAATTTTTAAAATGCCACATGCCACCTTTTTGCTAACATGTCTCATGTGTTTATTTACTTATTTATTTAGTAAAAACACCAATATGTCCTTGATTAAGGGTGTGGATAAAGTGAGCATTTGGGATTCTGGCTGTTGACCTTGTTCCTCAATTCCTCTTTTATGCACAGAGTACATGCATATACAGTAGGACTCCCATATCTGGGGGATCAGTATCCACTGATATATACCGTCTAAAATATTAAAAACATTTTTTTTAAGAATACTAGAAATGTATCTTTCTAAACATGAAGTTCACGGAACTGGCTACTTGTGGGAGCAAGAGACCATACTATTTATAGTGTTCACTATTAAACACTATTAAAATAGTGTTTGCTGTAATCCATGTTTTTAATAAACTGCAGGGGGTAGGTCTTGGAACCGATCTGCAGCAGATATGGGGTTCCTACTGTAGCTCTAATGTCATAAACTATCCTGACATTTTCTTGTGGAAAATCTAATACAGCCCCCTGTTGGGGGAGGAAGACATGTTCTTTTCCTTTGTATGGTAACTTTTGAACATAAAACATTGTTGAAATACTGCTGTGTCTCTTGCTGAGAGCAAGACACTATTGCTAAACTACAGATAATGTTGCATTTCCTCCCAACTTTTTAGATGTACCTGATCCTCCACAAAACCTCCGCCTATCAGAAAAGCAGAACAGAAGTGTTAGGCTGTCCTGGAATGCTGGAAGCAGTAACAATAGCCCAATCAATGGTATGAAAGATTCTTGTGCCATTCTTCCCTTTTATAAAAATGACACCAAATGATTAACTTTACCCCGAAAGCTGTACTTAACTGGTTTTATTGTTAAAGAGTCTTTGTCATTAATCCTTCTTCCTTTCTCATCAGTCTGTTTTCAAGGCTACTTGTTTCCCTAATTCACATGCATTTCTTCTTGTGTCTTTTTCTGTGTGTGTGTGTGTTTTCTTTTCTTTTTCAGAATCTATTGTGGAATTTGAAGAGAACCTGTGGGAGCCCAGAAAGTGGCATGAATTAATCAGGCTCCCAGGGAATGATACTACAGTTGTTCTGCCATTGTCTCCTTATGTAAACTACCAATTCCGTGTTTTAACGGTTAATGCTGTTGGAAAAAGCCAGGCCAGTGAGCCATCAGAGCGATATGAAACACCTCCAGCTGGTATATATTGTTGCTGTTTCTCATATTTTAGTACTTCGTAGTAATAAAGCATACTGACATAGCTGTCATACTTGTTTTTGAAAATTCTAACCGTACAAGGTTTTAAATATCAATATACAGGCTGGACAGGAAGTGGTAAAGAATTAGGAGCTTATTTGCTAAGCATTCTTGGTGGAAGCCCTCCCCTTGGAGGCTCAGTTAGCACTGATTCTGGCATCATTTCAATGCCGAATCAACAGATACTTCTTTATTAGAGCCTTTGCGTATTGAGAACCATGGCCGTTGCAGGTTTTAGTGAAATGGTTTTCATGTTTTCTTTTTGTGTTTTAAATTGCTTGATTTTAAATTGTTTTAATTATCTCATGTTTTAAAATTGTTCTGTAAAACTCTGTAACTCACCCGGATATCCTGTGATATAGGGCATGCTATAAATGTTTTATATAAATAAAATGAATCAATACTAATATTTGAGGAAATATTAGTCTGTCATGGATAGCTGGCATGTGCCTGGCATCGTTGCAGATAACTGTGGGTTGAGCATAAAGTGCTGCTGGGGGCTGAACTGAACGTGGTTACAGGGTACCATGACTGGGGACCCTGCCTCCTCAGAGTTCTTCAGTCATGTTCAACTATATGTGGTTACTGAGACCTCAGCAGACCTTCATGCTTAATGTCGAAATATCTGGGATGCTGCTGGGTCCACAGTGATTTTCAGGGAACAGCATCCGTGTCCCTAACTCCAATTTTCTCTATGAAAGAACACCTGCATAGGGTGATTGTTTAAACTGCATGTGTCTCAAAGCATTCTCCTGTTACTGTTTAGTGACTTTACCATGTCCTTATATTCTTTCTTCTTCAATTAAATGTCCAAGTCCCGTCCTTAAAATAAGGTAACCTAGTCCCAACTTGTTTAGGACTTTATATGTGAGCCACAATACACAGTGCATAACAACAGCAATATGAGGAAGACTAATGGTCCTAGTGAAATAATTAAAGAAATAATGTTTTCTTCTCCACTATGGAGATATACTGCGTCACAGATCCTTACAGTCATATACAACTGGTCTTCCTGCAAAAAGCATGCTCTGCTCCAGGAGAACAGGAGGTAGCATTCCTAAATTAACTGGAATTCTTACAGGAGTTCATGTAATAATTTTAAGAGAAGCTACCTTCTTTTATTTTATGCAGACATCTTTTTTGGATAGACCATTTTGCAAGATTTATAGCAAGTCATTTATCAGCATGGGTCTCTGAACAAATTTTACCAATTTCTCTTGGTATAACATGAAATAACAGGTCCCTGAAAATGCTTTTAAGAACAGCTGTTCAAAATAGCTTATTCATTTATATTCTCCTAACATTATTCTTAACATGTCTCTTATGCTGTCCCCAGCTTTCCAATTCTATGCTTCATACTAATGATGCACCTTCTGTTTTCCTAATCCCATAGGGCCATCTCTCTGCAATAATTCCATTAACATCTGGTACCTTGTGAAACTAACATTTAAATACAATGACTGAAACCATATCCTTTGCATATTTTTGTTCACTACACCTTTATATATATCAATTGATCATATTATCTAAGAATGCCTTAGGCTGGACTTATGTGCTAATGTCTGCCATAAGGTAATCCTTTTGTCTCCTCATTGAAATCAGTATGAGAAATGATCTTTTTGTTGTTACTTTCACATGCCCCCCCCAATAACACAAAACATGTCATCCAGGATTGGAGAATTTCTGGCATTCTATATATTTTGGACTAGAACTCCAATAACCCCTTATTATTGGCCATGCCTGGTAGGGCTGATGAGAGTTGTATACCAGAACATCTGATAAGCCAAAATACTTCAAATGATACATTTACTGCATTGTAATCATGATTATCTTATAGGTTTTTCTAAGTGTGTTTATGATGTGTTTGTACTGCAAGAAAACCATATTCTGTTTCATTTTTATAACGAAGGAAGGGCAGTTAATCCAATTACTATGAGGTAAAGTGAAGCGTAAGGAGGAGAGGGGTGAAAATGGGTTGTTTAAAAGGCTCATGTGTGTTTTGTTTTATTGATGCACAGCTCCAGACAAGAATCCAGAAAATATCAGAATTGAGAGTTCTAAACCACATGAGATGAACATGACATGGGAGGTAATACATTTTTAAAAGAAATTATGCACAAAATTATTGTGATTCCAGGTGTAGGAAGGAGGACAAGTGGGATGATGACAGTATGGAAGATGATTTGTCTAGTTAATTAAGAGAGAAAATAGGAAAGCACAGCTACAAGAATGCTTCCAAGAAGTTATAAAAATAGTACAAGCTATTATCCAATAAGTTACCCAGTCCAAACAATTCTCAGTGTTTTTGAACGTTTAATACTTTTCCTTTAATGATAAGATCTGCTAGGCTTTTTAAAAATATATACCATGCTGTAAACAAAATAAGGGTAACATTTTCATATGAGTTGATTTTCCTGGTACAACAAAAGCAAACTTACTACAAATTGAGAGATAATGTTTCCAATACAGAACCATATAATTGAATAATCTGTGTGCTTTCAATCCATCTCTTTCATCCATGGCATGATTTTAAAGCCGCAATATCCTTTCTCCAAGTTATATTAAATTCATGTTCAGTATTTGGGGTATGTTTTCCTCCCTTTCAGAATGATTACTGACTGTTCTGTAAAACTGCCCATCCTTTAAACTGCTGTGCTCTGGATTCCCCCCCGCCCCTTCATTATAGTAGCAAAACCTAATCCGTTTTCCTTCCCCCCCCCCTTCTCCATTTCATTTGCAGCCGTTAAAGCCCTTGGAGCAAAATGGACCAGGGCTGGAATATAAAGTGAACTGGAAGCAGCACGATGCAGTCGAATGGGAAGAAGAAACAGTGCAAAAAAATTTCTTGGTTTTGCAGAACACTCCCATCTTTGTACCTTACGATATCAAAGTTCAGGCACTAAATAACTTTGGGTCTGGTCCTGAACCCAGTTTAGTAACTGGCTATTCAAGTGAGGACAGTAAGTAATGGGGTAAAAATATTAAAGAAATAATATACGGTTGGTTTTCTAACAGGATGCTGATGATTGAGCAAACTTGTACAAGTAAGAGCCAGGCTGACTCCTGCACCATGATTGTCTGCGTTTTCCCAGAACCATTGGTGGAGATCATTATAGCACTGGGTGGAAGCAACACCTTTTAGTGACTGAAAATCCTTCATTTTTGCAGCATATGTGGGAGGAGGGCTAAAATGATTAAGATGATTTTGTCACACACGCCCTGCCGTATGCATTTCTGCTACCTAGAAATGTCCCCGTTTGATGTAGAATATCTAAATATGAATTTGTCTTGTTGCCAGGTCATTTCAGTCATAAAAGGAAATGAGCTGCTCCCAGTAAATTAGTAAAATACCAAGGGGTGAGAAAATATATACACACAAAAGCTTTCTGCAGCTCAAATGTATCCCAGTGGGGGATCAGCCGCCACATAAATCACAAGTTTTAAAAGCATTGTGAAGAAGTATGGATAGTTGTTTGCCTTACTTCTTCTTGAGTGAAGACCCCATTTCAGTGCTAATTTACAAATGAAACTCCAAACAGTTTTCAATGTAATTAATTCTAGCTTTATTTATTTATTTATATATTTATTTTATTTATATCCCACCTATCTAGTCGATTAAGACCACTCTAGGTCTGAGAAAGAGTGAACTTACATTGGTCATTGCTGATAAATGGAAGTCATCATATGCCAACTTTTTCCAGTTACCATTCCATGAAATGGACCTTTTTTTGGTGAACATAGTAAAACAGGGCCAAAATATTTTAAGACATTTTTTTCAAAAATGTTCTCTTTCAGTGCAAAAAGTGAGGAGTCATGACTAAATTATATACCCTATTCACATCCTACTTCCTTCACCAAGCAGTGATCTTTTCCCATTGGCCACCTCTTCTTGTTCCTTACTTCTCTGCCTTCATTTATACTCCAAGAAATATTTCTGTTAGCACAGTGGTTCCCAACCTTAGGTCTCTAGATGTTCTTGGACTACATCTTCCAGAAATCCTGGCCGGCACAACTAGTGATGAAAGCTTCTGGCAATCACAGTCTAAGAACACCTGTTACCCAAGATTGGGAAGCCACTGCATTAGCAGGAATGATATTGTTGCTACTAGTTTCCGTAACACTCAAATAACATCCAAAAGATGGCATAAAAACTGTTGATACTCACACCAGAGTGGTATTTTTCTTAAACTGAAGTTACACATTAACATTCCTCTGCAACATAGCTGTGCCTAAGGAATTTGGTAAAAGGAGAAATTAGTTTAGTGTAAGTTTTAAAACTTCTAGTTGACATCTCTCTTTCTAATCAGTATCTTTCTGTTAAAACTTGCAAAATATAAAATACTGCTTTGCACATCTCAGCCACCTGGAGTTCTTTATTATATTATTGCATTAGTCTATGATACCTCAATTGTCCTCCCTACTCCCCCATTACAGCTACTACTATCATAAACTATGACAGCGGATTTTAATACACCTTAAAATAAAGTCATAACCCTAATGTAATAATTGCAAGTGTACAGCTGTCAAGCAATACAATTGTTTCTTGAGTAACACATGGAAAGTTGAGAGCCCCTGCTCACCTGTTGTGAAAATGAGACATAGCAGTTTTTATTTTTCTTATACAGTGGCGTGTGTCTACATGCATGCATGTGTGCATACATATCCCCCACAAGTGTGTATGGAATATTTTAAGTCCCTTACTGCAGGGCTACAAACAGCTTTATTTAAAAAGGTAAAAAATCCTCCCCCACCTTACTCCGAAAGCTTTAAGGATTAAGACTTTAAGGATTAAGACTGCAAAAAGGGGAAGACCCACTGTTGTTCTTTAGAATAAGAGACCTGAAAGTTCTTGATATGAGTAGAATGTGCACAATACATTAGCACTCAGCAGCAGGAGACTGATTGTGAAGCAGCCTACAGCTTATTATGTTGTTTAAAAGTCTACCTGTATGAAGCTTGTTAGCAGGACTCTTTAAGAAGGCTCCCTAATATACTGTGAAGAAAGGAATGGGCTACACGACACCCACAATGTTGCGGATTGTTTCTGACCCAACTTTTTGCTGTCCTCAGGCTCTTCCTGGAATCTGATAATTTCAGCGTTCACTGAAGAAAATTTCTATCTCTCTCGATAGCAGCACCCTGCTGACATTAAGTAGATGTTAAATATGAATAGGAATTATAGTATGGGAGTCATGTGAAGTTCATTTCAGATATTAGAGAAATATAATTCTGAGCCCCCCAAAAGTAGAACATATTTTTCATACATTTTCTCTTCTGGCAAAATGTCTCCTTGTAACAATTTGTTACATAGGTGTGAATGGGGTCCCTGCTAAAAATGTGGTTTATTTGTGTTCAGTCTCTGTGATACGCAAATACCTATGCCTGGCATTGACGTCTTAAGTCTTCTCAGGTGATCATTTCCAGATTAAAACACTTTGTAATTATGTAGTTGAAAATGAGCTATTCTAATCCTTTTTAGTCCACTCACAACAACTACTGTGATGTTTATGTGTTCCGTTTCTTGTTTTACAATTTCAAGTTTACCTTGATTCATATGGCCAATTTCTCTAGTTTTAATTCTATGTATTTCCAGATTAAAACACTTTGTAATTATGTAGTTGAAAATGAGCTATTCTAATCCTTTTTAGTCCACTCACAACAACTACTGTGACGTTTATGTGTTGCATTTCTTGTTTTACAATTTCAAGTTTACCTCGATTCATATGGCCAGTTTCTCTAGTTTCAATTCTATGTATTACTCGGCTTTGGGTTTTCAGAAGCCTGTGCTGCAGGGTCAGAAGACCAAGCAGTCATAATATCGAATCCACGTGACGGAGTGAGCACCTGTCACTTGTCCCAGCTCCCGCCAACCTAGCGGTTCGAAAGCATGCAAATGCATGTAGATAAATAGGGACCACCTCGGTGGGAAGGTAACAGCGTTCCGTGTCTAAGTCGCACTGGCCATGTGACCACGGGAGATCGTCTTCGGACAAAACACTGGACAAAAATTGTCAAGGGGAACCTTTACCTTTACCTAATTCTATGTATCACTCGGCTTTGGGTTTTTCTTTTGCCTCTGTACACATCACCAGTGTAACTTCCTTTCAGCTTTAATCAAATTGCTTCACTAAAAATAGTGCTACTCATATTTATCCTTAGCTCTTCCCAAGTATCTCATTAAGTGCCTTCAGCTATGGGAGTCTCAAGAGCATTATCTTTTATTTCATCTTGCATTATCTCATTAGAAATCAAAATATTAAAATATTCAGAATTAGTTTACCAAGGCCTTCATTTGTGTGGTACTAATGCAGTGGTTCCCAGCCTTAGGTCTGCAGTTGGTGAACTACACTCCCAGAAATCCTGGACAGCTAGTGGTGAGTTTTAGTCCAAGAATATCTGGAAAGCTCAGTGGTTTAGGTCTCAATTTTCCACTGTACCTCCTTGAGAGAGGCTGGACTTGATGATCCATAGCATCCGTTCTAGCTCTGCCGTTCTAAGGTTATTACTATTATTACCTTACTATAGACGAAAGGTGGGAACCTCTGTACTAATGAGTTAGCTTAAGTGTCAGTATTGTAGCCTATGAAACATCTTCTGCCAGTGTCATTTTTCATTACTGCTGCTGCCCTTCAGGAGTTTCTATCTTTATTGAAACTATCAATTCTCTGGCTTATGTGACTTTTAATTCTTGAAGAAGATGGATGCATCTTAGTCAGGTTGTCTCAGCTTTGTCCTTTTCCTTGGATGGCCATGCTTAGTCGTACAGACTGTTCTCTTGATGGTATTGCTCTCAACTTCCTTAATACACTCAGATTCCCATACCAATATGTGCATTTAAAAGAGGTACACTGAGGCAGTGACAGATTTTACTTTCTTGGGCTGCATGATCACTGCAGATGGAGACAGCAGCTACAGAATTAAAAGACGCCTGCTTCTTGGGAGGAAAGCAATGACAAACCTCGACAGCATCTTAAAAAGCAGAGACATCGCCTTGCCAAAAAAAGTCCGAATAGTCAAGGCTATGGTTTTTCTCGTAGTGATGTATAGAAGTGAGAGCTGGACCATAAAGAAAGCTGACTGCCGAAGAACTGATGCCTTTGAATTGTGGTGCTGGAGGAGGCTCTTGAGAGTCCCCTGGACTACAAGGAGAACAAACCTACCAATTCTAAAGGAAATCAGCCCTGAGTGCTCACTGGAAAGACAGATCCTGAAGCTGAGGCTCCAATACTTTGGCCATCTCATGAGATGAGAAGACTCCCTGGAAAAGACCCTGATGTTGGGAAAGTGTGAGGGCAAGAGGAGAAGGGGATGACAGAGGATGAGATGGTTGGACAGTGTCATCGAAGCAACCAACATGAATTTGACCCAACTCCGGGAGGCAGTGGAAGATAGGAGGGCCTGGCGTGCTCCGGTCCATGGGGTCATGAAGAGTCAGACATGACCAAACGACTAAACAACAATAACACTGAGGTTAAAGATCATAAAAGGAGGACATTTATCAAGGGGGAAAGGGGGTATTTTTGCATTAAACCTGCATGTACTAAATTTGCTTTTGTTGCTATATGCAAATGTAGTCACTATTACACATAATCGCTCTAGTTTAAGTAGAACGTAGACCCTTCATGAGTACCCAAGCTCACCCACTCACACCTTCAAAATTATGTTATAAATCATGAATTGTTTATAAAGATTTCCACTCATATATTGTTTACATGGTGAGTTAAAAACAGAATTCAGTCTGATTAAAATGTATTGCTTGAGAATTAAAGTGTATTGTAATAAAATACTAGCAGAAAAAAAATTACAATCAAATCCTAAGCACATTCACTAGACATAACCTCCACTGAAGTCAGTGGCAGTCCTTCAAGTATACTCAGAATCACAGCTTTAGGTTTCTGAAAGTTTTTAGAAAGGGCTGTAGTTTTCTTTATGATGTCTTCAGAAACAGTTATCAACTTTAACCCTGAAAGCAGCAAGCAGTGCAGGAATTTTTCAGTGCTTTGTTTTATACCCACATTTCTTCTTTTTCATCCCTTTTTTTCCATTTCACACCAAAGCATGCCTTTGGTAGAAGAAGCCCCCTCCCTCAAATTTGATATTGAAATATACATACGTCTTAATTATCATTGTTAACTGTCTTTGTATCTGCATAGCATAACTCTTCAACATCTTACAACAATACCAGTGCAGATCTTTTGAATACCTACTTCCCACTACAGCAACAAGTCACTGGACAGGAAGGGCAACTTCAGCATGGATGTGTAACCATAAAACAAATTTAAAATGTTCAGCTGAATGGTGTGTCTTACTGTCATGCACTGTCTGACACACTCTGTTTTACACAGTCTCCAACGTACCTATACTCATGTATGCTTGTTTCCATGATCAGTCTTTTTCTACTTCTTTGCTCTTTCTTCTCTGTGCTTGTATGTGTATGCAACCAGGTATGTGCACAGGCAGAGCTTTTCTCAGTGAAGCTCACAGAGCAAGACATGACAGCATAGAATGGGAGAGATGTAAAAATATAAACTTAAGAAGAAGGAGGATGACAAGAGAAGTAGATGCCCCCCATGCACTGATCTAGTGCCTTCCGCACATCACTCTTTATAAAGTGTAGTGTGGAAGAGGGGAACACACACATACATGTGCAGAGAGAGAGAGAGATCATTGGCTGTCATATGTAGGGAGGAAAGATGAGCAAAGCCACAGGACTATTTCCAATCAGGATCTTTGAGTATTAGGAAAGGTTCAGCAGGGAAAGGAAAGGAAACATAGGGGGAATTGAGTTGTCTTTAAAACTAACTCTACTTATTCTGAGAACTGAATTGTATTACTTGGTGTCTGCAAAGAGCTTTCAGTTCATAAGGGATGAGAAGACAATGAAAAAAGATGTTTAAAGATTTCCACATAAATATAATATGGGCAGAAAAGTCCATATCATTTAAAACCTGGCAGATTTCTTTAGGTTTTCAATCATTGTTTTATGCAAGTTCCTTCAAAGCGCAAACTCTAGGGAAAAGATAGCACATGAATAGGAGTTACCCACTTATTTAGGAGTAGACCCACTGAATTCAGGTACAGCTCACATTTGAGTAGGAGGTATAGAATGAAGCTGTAAAAGAGAAAGATGATGCAGTATATGCTATAGTCTGTCAGTGTCTTTAATAATTGATTTTATAATACATTAGAGGCAAAATCCAGAGCTGGAGTCCCGAAGGCAGCGTTTTGCTAACTCCTGTGACATTGCTGGAACCAGTTGTATTGGCTCTTGCCTTTCCATTGGACCATTTCAGCAATGTGGAGAGGGGGGATCTGCTGCTTGGGTAACAGCCTATCCTCCATATTACCTTACCCGGGCTTCATGCTCTGGAGAGGACACTCCTCGATTCAGAGCATGTCTCCATAGTCTCTCGAGACTGAAGGATGCCCATGAATACATTTTTTAAAATATATCGCCCTGAGTAGCAATTTGCTAGATTGGCAGGATAAAAACTGAAGTAATTTCTGGACATACTCAAGGAAATGGTCAACTGTGGGTTTAATTTATCTTTAAAGAACATATTAATTATAATCTAATTTTTTAAAGGAATTTAATTTATAAGCTGCAGCTGCCTCAGTTGTAGATTCTTCCCATCACTTTGAGTTACCTTTGAAAAATAAAGGGGCCAGCAGTTCTGCACCACAGCAGTTCTGCACTTTTTATTCCAAGAAATAAAAGTGAAAGAGGTTGCTTTGTGCAGCTGCATAGTTGCATTTTAAAAAGGTGGTGGGAGCCTGTTCGCTGTGAGATTTGAGAAGATGAGAGTGGTGGATTCTTTGGTTTGGTTGACTGGCTAAGACTGCACGGGGAAAAATTAGAGTCAAATCTGAGCCAGAGGACTCTTTTTAGAACAAAACCTGCTGGATACCAAAAGGGAAGGATAAGAAGAAAATGAGAACATAAGGAAGCTGGGTTGGTGAAGTATAGTGCTCCAGCTGCCAGTACCAAACTTCAGATTGAACACCTCTGATCTGGATGGATCCCCCCATTAGACTTCTGGAAGAACAATGCACATTGGAGAACAGTCCAGTGAAAATCTGGGCCAATGTAATCCTAGTTTATTCAGAAAGGAAAACAATCTTACTAAAGGTCTCTTGGGCCTGCTCCCAAGTAAATATGTGTAAGTCTGTAGTTTTGACTTCACAGTCATACAGCACTGATGAAGACCTTGGATATTGTAAAATCTAAGTTATGAACAGCTTGCTGATAGGAGGTATTTGGTTAAACTAAAAGATGGCTGGTTTTGAATTAAATGGAATTTACTGTTTTAAATGTAGATTAGTACCCAGAGCTGCTCTGGACTGTGGAGAATGATGCTAAGGGGGAAATGAGTTCAAGTGTAGGCAGAGTGAAGCATCTGTAGTCAGCATGAAGCAGTAGTTGCTGAAACTCTGCCCTGTTGAAACCCCTGATCAATAAGCTAAAGTCTCAACAATTACTGCTTTGTGCTGACAACAGATGCCTCAGTCTCCCTACACTTCAGGATGGTGTTCCAGCATGACAAATGGGTGGTCATTACGCTGAACCTTGTTTTATGTACAGTAAGCATACCTTCAAAATATTCAGCTCTGAATATAGTGGTTAATCCAGCTGCCACCTTTCTCTGCTTCCAGTCCCTGAAGCTGCTCCTTCCAATGTAATTGTGCATGCCATCAACAGTACTCTCGCTAAAGCCATCTGGTCTAAAATTCCGAAGGACAGAGTTCGAGGGCACCTCAGAGGCTATAAGGTAATGATCATTCCACTCTCCTCTTGTCCATTAATCTGCCACTCAGATTCCAATCATGGTTCTTTCATAGGATAAGTCATAGTTAAGGTTTCTGCCTTTAATTGGACCTTCCCATTGCAGGTCAGCTGGTGGAAAACACGGAGTCGCCTGGATGGAAAAAACCATCACCCAGAGAAACACTCCTTGACATTTAATGGAGACCGTAATGATGGGATGATTCCTGGACTAGAGCCATTTAGTGAATATCACTTAACAGTTTTGGCATTCAATTCCAAAGGACCTGGACCAGAAAGCCGGACAGCTGTATTCCAAACACCAGAGGGAGGTAATAAAGGAGAAAAGCAAAGAATTAACCAGAAATAGTAGCCAACATTCATATCTGTTTTTACCTCACTGCAGGTTTTTGTGATGTGTCGGTTATTTTCTCTATGCCCAGGCATTCTCATAGTCAGAACTATCAAATTAATATCTTTACATTGATTTCATCTGTCTCTGTGCCCAAATGTTTGTTTATAGTTTTGTTCCTTTTACCAGCTGGACCAACAGATGCAGACGAATGATTACCAGCTTTATAAATGATTGCTTCAATTGTGCATCCATCAGGCCTCACACATAGTTATTGTCATTGGGCTTGATGTGGATGCATTTTACATCATTCTCCTTCCCTTGAAATCTCTAGGTCATAATGGACATGCATCAGTCAGATCTTAGAAACATAGTATTTGCCTTGTATTGAGTCAGATCATTTGTCTGTCTAGCTCTGTACAGTATTGTTCATTCTGACTGACAGCAGCTCTCCTAGGTTTCAGAAAAGTTTCTTTCTCAGGTCTACTTGGAGACCACATTTTTATGGTCTCCAATCCAAGTACTATTCAGGCCTAACCCTGCTTCCGAAATCAGATAAGATTTGTGTGTTCAGATTGTTTTAGATGACCCGTGCATTATATCAAGTCTGTTAGCCTCAGATAGATAAAACTACAAACCAGGCTTGAAAAGAGCACAAACCATATTTCCAAGGAAAAATGCATGAACACATACAGTTGTAGTCAGTGTGATAATATGGAGGTCTGTGCAGTCCCATTCAGAATACAGTCTGAATACAGTTTGGTGTAAAGATAGAAGGCAAGTCTTTCACACGTTTCATAGTTCTTATGAGTTCAAACTTCTACTGGCCAGAATTTAGTCGGATTTGCATGGCTTAATCCCCCATCCCCCACCAGCATAACTGGCATGAACAGTCATTTTACCTAGATTTTGCACTCAGACATACGCAGATCTTGCACTCAGTTGTGCATCCAGGTATGTAACAATCAAAAAATTGCGAAGTCTGTTTATGCCATTTCCTTTATCTGTGCTGTAGTTCACAACAGGATTCTAGCCAAAGTCTCTGTAAGGTACTATTTTGTAGGCAGGAAATTCCCCCAGCTTTTGCTACAGCAGTTTTGATAGGTCAGTTTCAACCCCTCAAGCACTCAGCCACTTTCACACCTTTTGTAGAATTTTTGATAGCTACGTATATAGTGTTAGCTAGCTGCTCATTTGGAGCCTGACTAGTCTGTTTCTGCCCAACACGCCCAAGGCAAGGGCTGATGCTTATACTGATTTGACAGAGGGGTCTTTTTTTGTCACAGTTGGCAAATAATGTGGACGTTGAAGAAATGCACCCAATAAGTAGTGGGAGGCCTCTAGAGCAGTGGTCCCCAACCTTGGGCCTCCAGATGTTCTTGGACTACAACTCCCAGAAGCCTTCACCACCAGCTCTGCTGGCCAGGATTTCTGGGACCTGAAGTCCAAGAACATCTGGAGGCCCAAGGTTGGGGACCACTGCTCTAGAGGATCGGATGGTTTTCCAACCTGCCCCTCTAGAGATGGGATGCTTTTCCAACCTGCTCCTCATTTCAGAAAGCTCAAGGACTTTAACCTCTGGAAGTCTTGGCTCATGAATTGCTGTGGGCTACAGCATACAAGAATACCTCATTTCCCTTTTATTGGGAAGGTTGTTGTTTCAACCTATATATTGCCTCATGGTGCTAAAGCACTCTCTGGGCAATTTACAATTCAAAGAACATTATGCCAGCCCAGCAAGGTGGGTACTCATTTTACCGACCTCAGAAGGATGGAAACCTGAGTGAACCTTAGCCAACTACCTGAACCCGTTAGAATAAAACTTAGTTCACGAACAGAGGCTTGATTGCAGTATTGCAGTTTAGGTCTCTGTAAGGTGGGTGAGAGTCAGGTGGAACTCTCAGAATATAGAATTATGAGATTTGTAGTCCAAGAAATTAAAAAAAATCCTTCCTTATTTCACAGATACAATACTAGCTGAAGGATGGGGAGTGACACATTTATTCCGTAGGAGAAGAAGCTTTCTGGGCCATGCTAACATAAAACGACCCCCATTCAATTAAGTGACATGGATTGGCTCAGAAAAGGAGATTCTCTAACCTTTCTAATCAATCCCTCAGCCATATTCCCTTATGGAGCAGTATCAAAATGCTGTCAAGAAATCCAGGATTTTACTGTAACTGTGATTGGGCAAGTAGTGCTTCCACCATGAACAAACAGCACCAGACAACATTTCTGATTTTCTTATATTCCTTTCTGTTAGTGAGCATTAAAATATATATAAAAAGATAAAGGTTCAGGTTGAAAAGCGATAGAGAAAGAAAGAACATCAGTTCTATGGAAGGAGAGGGTAAATGGCAGACAGTTCCAGTCTGGTTTCTTTCACCTTTTCTTTTGAGGCACAGAATAATGTCTGATAAAGAGTCCAGCAAATGGCCTGATTTGCCTGAAGTTAGCTTTTCTACTTCCACATTTGAGACAGCCAGAAGATCTCATTGTACCAGGATCTTTTCATTCAGAGGATGTGGGGAAGGGCCTCTGGGAAGTTCATTGGCAGCCTGCTTCTGGCACTGCCATTAATTTTCATGCCAGTCTATGCCCGCCCTATTCTCAGGGCAAATGTGTATGAGCACACAGCTCTAAAATGTGGCCATATGTGTTCAAACTGATGTGATGTATACAGCTCTCACTTACTGTTATTTTTTTAAAAAAAAAAACTGGTTCTCTCCAATAAACTTAGAGGGGAGTAATCAGACCCTCCCCTTCATCGTACCTTTCTGGAAATAGAGAGTGACATGTCTGTAGAAGGTTGCTCACCTGGAGCGCCTACACATAAGCAGACACATTACTTTCCATAAGGAAAATGTGCACACACATTACTCTCTACAAGGAAAATTTGTGATGAAGGGGAAGAGGCCAGGAGGGTCTCTGTAAGTGTGTTGGAGAAGAAGGTCTGTTACATCTGAGCAAGTGCATGCATTTATATGGAACAGTTAATCAAGCCAAATAGAATGATCCTTTATTCTTACCCAAAGTTAAATAGAATGAGCTTGCATGTTGGTAGTTTAATCTACTTTTTGTATTTTGCAGTCCCAGAAAAGCCACACTTTTTGAAAACACTGAATTTTGAGAAAGACTCAGTAACACTGTCATGGGGACCACCTAAGAAACCAAATGGCATTGTCACTGGATACGTTTTACAGTACCAGATGAGTAAGTAAACAAATGTCTATTTGCAAATAGTGTTTAAACAAAACAAACAAAAAATACATCGGGGGCCCATCATTCAATAAGGACGCTAACAAATTGGAACAAGTTCAGAGGAAGGCGACAAGGATGATCAGGGGGCTGGAAACCAAGCGTTGTATAAGGAAAGGCTGAAAGAATTGGGTATGTTTAGCCTTCAGAAGAGAAGAATGAGGGGTGATATGATAGCAGTTTTAAAATATTTGAAAGGCTGTCAAACAGAGCAGGGGCAAGATCTCTTCTCAATCATTCCAGAGTGCAGGACATGCAACAATGGGCTCAAGTTAAAAGAAGCCAGACTTCCTAATTATTAGAGCAGTATGACAGTGGAACCAGTTACCTTGGGAATTGGTGAGTGCTCCAGCACTGGAGGCATTCAAGAAAAACATAGATAATCACCTGGCAAATATGCTTTGATTGTATTCCTGCATTGAGCAGGGGGTTGGATTTGATGACCTTGTAGGCCCCTTCCAACTTCACTTTTCTATGATTTTATGATTGTTATCCAGTACCTGAAGGAAAAGCTCACATATATTTAATGTTATCCAGTACCTGAAGGAAAAGCTCACATATATTTACAGAGAAGACATAGGGTAACTGAAAATGGCAGAATTCAGGTGAAGTTTGTGGCTTTCATGAAGTTGACTTTTCCCTAAGAATTATAACATTGCTTTTATTTGCTTAGTATGTGGAAGCTAAAGTTATGAAGTAGGTAGATTTTCTTCATCATCATCTTAGAACTGCAGAGCTGGAAGGGATCCTGTGCATCATCCAACCCCTGTAGAGGAGGCACAAGTGGGGAATCAAGCTGCCATCATCTGGCTCCCCAGCCAGCTACCTAAACTTCAGAGCTATCCAGCAGTTCTAAATTTCACTTTCTAGTCTTCACAAGCAAAGAAGGATGAATTACAAATTATTTTCTTCATGGAGGAGAATGTCAGAGCATTTCCTGCCACTCTTGACCAAAGTTCTTTTTTGTACAAAAAAGTTTTACAAAAAAATTCTCTATTTCTGCACATAGTCATGTAGCTCACACAAATATAATTGTACCACTTGCACAATTTTTGTAATTATGTGAATTACATAAATTGCCTGAAACTAGGCTGACAGCCGTTCTATTAAAAATTTGAAGGTGTAAAGTGGACTGTTGACACTTTGTTTAAAAAAAAAGCCAGTCCTTGTGCAGATTTTCATTGTGGGTGGATATGCATGACATTTTAACCACTTTTGCTGTCAATACATAATTAACATGACACATTTTAGATGGTTGTATGGTTTCCTTTTTTTTAAAAGGCTAATTTTGCAGAGATAAAACAAAAATGCTAGTAGCTCCTGAATGAGAGTTTTTGTCGGGTATTTTCACTATTCAGATTTATTCCAATTTTATTACTGAAGTTTCACTAGTTCATCCTTCTTGAAATAATTGTATATATTTGCCCAGTTTTGTAACTCATTTTTGCTGGCATTCACATTATGATATCAACAAAAACTGCATATAAAAAGTCGTTTCTTATTTTTCTTTTTTTCCTTTTCTTTCTTCTTTAACAATGATCAATCTGTATGAAAAGAAAAGTATATTTTTGTAACATATTAACAGTGATTTAAATAGCTTGTAGTTGTGTGATCTGGTGTGTTTGTCAGCTCTTATATGGTGGTTTCTAACCGAAGACTTTCCTTTGCTTCTCCCTTTTTTCAGTTAATGAAACTGATGACATTGGCCCTTTACATGAAATCAATATTACCAGCCCTTCAACATTCAGCTTCAGACTTTCCAATCTCAGCATCAGCACAAAGTACAAGTTCTATGCAAGGGCCTGTACAATAGAAGGTTGTGGGAAACCAATCACAGAGGAAGGCATAACAAATGCTGAAGGTAGTAAGTGAAAAGTAGCATAATTTTGCGAGTGCAGTTTTCATAAGGAAATCTGTAGGTTCCTGGTGGAGGAAATATGTGTGTTTCTCTCTCTCCCTCCTCATTTCTTTCTTTATCCCTCCCTAAAATCCATATCCTTGACACTAATCATGAGCAGAGGGAACTGTGCCAAGTCCTGAAGGGCTGACATTTAAGGCTTCAGAGAGCTGTGTAGTTTTGATTGTCTGCTGAGGATATTGCAGCTCTACAGTTTTGTCCCTGAAGTATTTGCAAAATTGGTTCCTGTGATAATTTCTTGAACACATGGATTCCTTTCTATTTGCTCAGTTTGAGCAGGAAATGTCACCAGCTTCGTAGCAATTGTTTTGAATAGTCCATGTCACTGACTCTTGGGTTGAAAAAAACGTGATTTAAATTTTTTTAGCATGGGATGGAACTATTCCAGAGCTTATAAAGGTTTGTTTTTTAAAAAATGAGCAAAAGAGTATCAGTTCAAAACGTGGATGAGTATATTCAAGATAATTTATTTCAAAGGAATACTGCAAAACTCTGTGTTGGGCTATGGTCATCAAGTACAAAATTATGAAAATTCCTCATCATCTACTAAAGGAAGGCAACAGCTTCTAACATAGAGGTGGTCAATGGAAGAATCATTTTATAAGTTATTTAGGTACTCCATTAACTGTAATTTACAATGATCCACTAGCTAGACTCTTCAATTTCAGCAGAGCCCCATCAATACAATGGGAAAAGCTACTAGCTAGTCTCTTTCAGCAAAGCTACTTTATACCTGTCTCACTTGGCTGAAATGCTATCAGATGAATGGCTTCATCACTTCTCAGTGCTCCAGTGACTGGATAACCAGCTGGATATCTGGCTGGCAAAATTTAAGTAAGATTGATATACTAAGTGCATCGATGTTGATAACATACAGTAGCAATATAGGCATGGAAAGAGTCAAGTATTTTCTTGTACATAACTCATTATCTGATCTGGATGTGGTAGGATTCATTTAGGCCGCAAATCCAGATTGTGAGCCTCTCAAAAAAGCTTGTATATGTTAGGATAAGCCATATAGAGGGTCTGATTCCTTTAAATGCCTGGCCAAATATCTTATTTTTGTGTTAGGTTTCGTCTGTGCCTCCCAACTAGGATCAGTGTATTTTTGGGACAGATCTGTGTTTTTTTACTATGATTCTACAAATTCCCTAGGCAACATGGTTGTGGTCTCTTTGGCTGAGGGACACTGGAAGATGCAGTCCAAAGAGAGAAAATAGCACAATTCTAATTGCTACCATATAATTACAAACCTGAGCATGTTTTTGTTTGGCTTGTTCAACTGAGTCATCTGACAAACATACTCTACAAAACCATTCTGCAATACATCTGTTTATGGCATACTGTGATCTAAATTGGACAACTATATCTGTTGGTAGGATGATATATGATTGGAGGTAGGTTGAATAGTCATGCTTTTTAAAAATCCAGATTCCTAAAAGCAAAGCATGCTGCTAATATGCCAGCCCATAGTACTTAAAGCAATATCTGGGTGGTTTATAATTTAATTATGTAGGTTACACATTGCCCTGCCCGCCCACCCCCGCAAGCTGGGTACTCAGTTTACTGACTTTGGAAGGATAGAAGGATGAGTGAACCTCAAGCTAGCTACCTGGGATTGAACCCGAGTCATGAGCAGAGTTTGGGCAGCAGTACTGCAGTTTAGCCATGAGTAGTAAGTCTTCTAGTTCAACTAAAAGCAGCAACAGCAGCAGCAACAACAAATTAATGCAGTACAAGCAAGCATTTGTGAGTCACTCAGGGAAGAAGCTGAAATACTTCTTCCTCTTAATCCAAAGAGGTGAGCAATCTGAATTGTTCTGAAACCTGCTTTTGTACTGTAGCTCCCTGAATTCCCCTGCCAAAGTAGCTGATGGCCATGAATAAGGGGGGCGGGGGGACAGAATTCTCGCTGCCATATATGTATACAAAGCAAACAGTCAACAACTACAGAACACTTTGGGGTCATTGATTTTTTCCCCAAGAAGCTATACTCTCCCCAAACAAAATTAAGTTACCATTTAACTCTTACTATTAGAGAGACAGAAGATGAATACCACAAGACATTACAAATCTGCCTCCATGTAAACTATGTTCCTCCATGTTCCTCCACCGCTACTAAAAAAAACAAGTTCCAAGATCATATCCATTCCACCAAAATTAAGTCCTTCTCAGAAATGGAGAAAGGAAAGCAATCATTTCACCCCATAATGTCAACTGTAAATTCTTTGTATTGGTAAGGCACCGGTGGAGACATCAAGCTTTCAAGAGGTGGCAGTATTAAGAGGCAGAACAACAGCATCGACAAATAATGGCCTTAATGAAAATGAAAGGGGAAAAAAGTCTCTGGTATTAGCTTCTGGGAAGGAAACAACATGGAATTTTAACTATGTGGTAGCTAAAGTCACTATAATATTTTCCATTGTTAGTCATCCACACGAATCAACTAAGACTGTCATGGTGTAGACAGAAAAGCATACTAGTAACTTCCCAATATTCCACCATGACAGAATAATAACAAATGACATTGCAGAAACACAGTTGGGTATTGCCTGATTAAACCAGATGTCTAAAGCAATCTGTGGAACATATTTACTTTCCAGCACGCAACAGATCTCTCCAAAAGCAGTAACGTCAATCATCTGAAGCTGGTTGCGTAGGCAGTAAGCTCTCATGAGCCTGAGAATTTGGGAGTGAAAATTGCTATCATACTTGATATACCAACTGGAGTATTTTCTTAATACCTTTTAATTTGGTTTTTAATCCTATCTAGCTAAAATTTCTAAGTACTTGCTTAGTTTGGTATGACAGAGATTGATGTAGTAGAGTTTATTTTGTGCCTTGTTTCCTTTTCAAAAGTGTTATGAGTAAGTCTATCATTTAGATGTTATACATTTAGAAAAAAAGTAATAATATATGACTTGTAATAACCTGAATCTTAATTTGTGATTTGATTAGAAAACACAGTTTTAACTTCATGGAACTAATATAGCAAAATCTACTCTGGCCAGTACTGTAATTATAATTCTGCTGAAAACCCTTTGCACCACATTTTGGTTTAATGCACCAATCAACATACAGTATTTGGTCTAACTCTCTGTGGCGGTATTATGATTAACTATCTATTTATATCTGATGAATTGTTGTCCTGGAAAAAACTTATCAAATTCTGCCCTTTTTCACTATGTCCACAGTGCTTTTAATCCTCTCTTTTCTCTCTCCCTCAGTTGTCTTCTGACTGCTAATCTCTCAAAGCTTCTATTCGCTCGCTTTCTAGTTTCAGAACAAATGATCATTACTTTAGCATCAGAGGCAAATTGTGATTAAACATTTGCAGATTCTGATATATGTTTTCTATACAGTAAATTAATAAGCATAGACACTGTATTCTAAACAGTCTTAGAATATGTAAATGCATTTAGCAAATCAAGTATATGAGGTTATTTAGAAAGCTTCCCTAAAGAGTCAATGCTGTCTAAAGGCTCAAGAGGTGTACTGTGGGATAGTATACAAATCTTATCTCTAGTCCTGAGATAATGCTGGGAGTCTGTCAGTTATAATTCACTTTCTGTATCACAGGAATGTTATTCACCATTCTTACAAATTTCTAAAATTATATCCAGGTAAAAAATGTTTGACCAGTTAAAGATCCACATTTTAAATGAGAGGGCCAAGAAATAATGTTTTTGGCATCTCCTTTCCACTTAAATGAGAGGGCCAAGAAATAATGTTTTGGCACCTCCTTTCCACATCTCCAAAGGGACGTAGTGGCGCTGCGGGCTAAACCGCAGATGCCTGTGCTGCAGGGTCAGAAGACCAGCAGTCATAAGATCGAATCCACATGACGGAGTGAGCACCCATCACTTGTCCCAGTTCCTGCCAACCTAGCGGTTTGAAAGCATGCAAATGCAAGTAGATTAATAGGGACCACCTCGGTGGGAAGGTAACAGCATTCCGTGTCTAAGTCGCACTGGCCATGTGACCACGGAAGATTGTCTTTGGACAAAACGCTGGCTCTATGGCTTGGAAACGGGGATGAGCACCGCCCCCTAGAGTCAAACACGACTGGACAAAAATAGTCAAGGGGAACCTTTACCTTTTTCCACATCTAATCAAAAGTAAAATACCCAAAATCATTATACTATTACACACTTCAAATACACATTGTGTTTAGTTCCAAGAATAGTAAAAATTAAGTTGTTATTTTTAGTTGTGTTAATCCAGATACAACTAGAAGCATACATGGAATGGCATGAGATTCTGCCCCTTACACATGTCAGAAGCAGGGGCTGGCAAACTCAGTGTTATTTATTCTGGTAGAATGACACAACTGGATATTGGCTGAAGCATTTTATCACATTTTTGAATAAAATTTCCTAAGATGGACTCTTAATACAGTAATGAGATGAACTGTTGTTTTGTTCTATATGCAGAAAGAAAACAGTGTAACATTCACTCACTTCTAGCTGGCAGTTAACAAGTTGCCACTAGGTTTCTTGAGGGGCTCCATTTGTTTACAAATGCTTACAAATATGTTTGAAGGATTCCCTATACCCCAAAGAGCCTGTCCAAACCAGTTTGCCCTGGACGATCCAGTGGTTCAAAGGATGGTTATAAAAATTGCTATAACTGACTCTCCCCATATACTATAACTAGTACACAACTAGTTATATGTTGTACACTCTTTTATTTGTATTTTGTATATTTTAGCCATATAATATGTTTTACGAGCTGGTCACTTGACTGTAATAAATAAATACATAAAGCATGCATGCACTTGAGAGTCCTGGGGAATTTGTTAACTGACAACTGAAAGGCCTTGAAAGTTATGTCACCTGCCCTCCTCATGGGTATCAAAGCAGCAGGATTTCAAGTGCTGAAGCTCATTGTAGGCACTTGTTCCAGTAATGTCCTTAGATTTAAGTCAGTAGAGGCAAGTTTATGTCAATGATACAAAAACATATTTGTTTGTCCAAGGAATTATTACATGTATTGGAGCTATACCTTAGGCTATTAGATGGATCATGTCTATTTTTTTGTGGTACTCAGCAATGAAGTTGGATAAAAAAATAATACGTAACAGAAACTGACTGACAGGGGAAAAGAGCCTGGCCTTTATTAATAGATAAAAATGTACATTGCAACTATGGGATATAAAAGTTACATTGAATTATATAAATATAAAGATTGTTACATAGCTGTGGAAAATAACAGTTATATTTTTCATGCTGATGTTTATATGCAGGTTGTTCCCCTGCATTCTTGCACATAAAGATTAAAAACTGTTATTCAAGATTTAATGAATAATGAATATGTTTATGTTATTTTACCAGATTTAATTCCATTCAGAAAAATTTATAGCATATGTTTTATGTTCTCTATAGATTTGTAAAACCATAATCCTTTTCTTTCCTCCAAAATCCCCATTGGAAATGCTGTTTTAGAGTTGCCTATTTAACTCTCTGAAGGAAAAAAAATCTCAACGTGTCATTTTTACCTGTAGACATTTTAGAAGTTTCATTAGTCGGCCCTAACACAATTCACATATTTGACTTGACTCTGTACATTCCTTAGGTAAAGCTGTCGGGAAGATTTCTGAAGCAGTAAACCCAACCCCAAAGACTCAGCCACTTGAGGCACTTGAGCCTGGAACTGCATACACAGTTCGACTAGTGACTAAGCATTGGGTTGATAATAATAGTATTTCTGCAGATGTAATTGAGACAAGGGGGAGAGGTGAGATACTCTTATGGCATCTAAGATGAGCTTTATTTTTATTTTTTATTTTTTTGTAAAAGCAAACTCCAGCAATTTTTATTTTGCTGTGTCTGAAAATATTATGTAATTATATCTGGTAAATCTGAACCCCCTGTGTTATATTATTTCAGTGAGGTGTTTTCTGCTGATTTCAACAGAAGCAAAAATCCATAAATTCACAATTCCATGACCACTCCCTAAAGCCACGCCAGGCCTTGGGCATTTAACCATCACCTGATTCATTCAAATTTAGAATCTCAGGAGTGCCTGACATCTGTGTAACAAATGCAAGTGCTTTCTTAATTAGTCCCTTTCTACCACTATTGTACCTCCGCTAGATTATTGTTACCAGTATGAGATACATAGCCAGAAGTCAGAGAGTGTGAAGTGACTGTGCAACCTGCTATTGAAGGTGTAGATATATGCTAATGTGCTAAGGAGGAAAAGAGGGCTGGATAAGAAATCAAGGCAACTCCAGTACTGGAGTGCTTAAGTACAGATAATCTAGCAATATTTTGGCAAAGATTTTTTTTTTTGGAAAATATAGACAGCTATTAGAAATGGATGAGGTAGCTCAATTAGTTGAGTATCTGACTGTGGAGCCAAAGGTCAGGATTGCAATTCCCTGCTCTTCCTCCCTGTGGCCTTGAGCAGTAGCAAAGTCCCAAAAGAACAGAATGTTGAACCACTTCTGAATACTCTCTATCTAGAAAAACCAAGAAAGTATAGCCCTATGTCAGAACTAATTATTATTATTGAAAGACACCAGGCATGGTCAATCAAAACTTAAAACATTGACTGGTAATGTATAACAGCAGTGTACTTTCTTAGGATCTGAAAGTGAGGATATAAGGGGAAAGGACAGTCCAAAATTTAGCTTATGTATTAATTATAGAAAAAAAGAAATTAGTCTGTGCAAATTTCTGAATAGCCCTTGTGTACATTTTGTGTCATTTTGATTTATTAATTCCATTCTGAAAATGTAGGCAAACTGGGCAGTCTTAAGGAGGCATTCTGGAGATATTCATAGATAATTTAGAAATCAGTACATTTTTCCTTGCAGTTGGGCAGTTTTATCACTTCTTTGCTTCAGCCAGATAGAATTTTAACAATGGTATCATCAGTTCTGTGGCCACCATATTGCTTAATGATTGGGGCTATAGTGCACATATTATCAATAATTTTTCTTCAGAAGTTCCTAATGTTTTTTCTTGCATATACTTTTCTCTACATGTACATTTCTCCCAAGAGAACTCATGCCAAAGCATGAGTTTTCTAGGATAATTCATGTGTAGCCCTCTGGATCAGGCTGACATTGATGAGAGCCAGTGGACTATTCCATGTTTATTCCAAAACAGAAATAGGAACCATTTAGTTCTAAAATCTCACTGCTTGACCCAACTGGAGTAAGTGTATTGAATCAACAGCTGAATTGTAAATCAACACTTAACATAAATCCCATTAATTCAATAGGTCTACTCTAACTGGAATTAATTGGATTTAGGCTCTGATGCTTTGACTCACAACCTCCGCCAGATCTACTCAGCATGGCCAGGGGCAAAGAACTGTGGAAGGCGTAGTCCCAAACATTTGAAGTACCAAAGGTACCACTACCCCGCCACTGCTCTAGAATGAATTATTTGAGAATCTCACTCTAGGACATTGTCTTCAAAGAGAAAAATGAAATAATTAAAAGATGTATTATGTTCAGGTTTAGCAATCACAAGAGGGTGGATCACTTAATAGTTTCATTTCCAATGCAGCTAGCTGAGCACTTGCATGTGCTATACACTTTTTAACTCTATCTCTATTATGCAAACTGCTTCTGCATGACAGGCTTTCTTGAATTCTGTATTGACTTTCCTATTTGGCATGAACCTCTTTAATCAAATGTTATCATGGAACTCCTGCTCCACCTATCAATAATGTGTGTTGCAGACTCTTCCTTCCTTTGCTTTCAGTGTAAATATTTATCCCTATATCTGCTCTTTCTTGAATGTTGGAATTTGTTCTGCTATATTTTAAAGTATGATAAGTATATTAACCCACACATGATCAGTTTTAAAATAATATCTTTCTAAATATCATAATTTAGGTAGCCTTCTTTTCTTATGTATATATATATTTTTTTTCATTCAAAGCTTATGTTGGAATTTATGAACGAATCTCTACACAAGGCTGGTTTATTGGACTGATGGGGGCCATTGCTTTGCTTACCTTATTGTTGCTCACAGTCTGCTTTGTGAAAAGGAACAAAGGAGGAAAATATTCAGGTAATCAAAACCAATGCTCTCAAACCTGATGCACAAGCTTTGCCTGGCTCCCACCCAGAAGACAGATCATTTAGATCATTCTTTCTGTAAGAAAATACTGGATACGGAAATTTTGCTGCTAAAAATAAATAAGTAAATCTACAATTATAAGAATACCTTAGCCAGCATGGCCAATGCTATCCAGCAAGTTGTGGACCCATTTTCCTATATCTGCAAAATAGCATTTCCTCTACTATGTTGAACTTCTGCAACAGTGATTCTTAACCTTTAGTGTTCCAGTGACTGGACTTCAACTTGCCCCAGTGAGGATGGCCAAAGGTTACCAATTTGAAACATCTGAAGGACCAAAGATGAAAATGTTGCTGCAGGTGCCACTTTCAGCTAGAATTTTCAGACCTGAAAGTGAGACCACCTTGATATCTGTTAAGTCTCTTCCTCTTCTCCAAGGAAACAAGAGAGTGCTAGCTCCCATGACAAGTTAGCCCATCCCAGATGAATTGGAAGGATATAGAGGCAAAACCTTTCAAGGGGAGATTTCACATTGCAAGTTCTGCTCAGTCTAACTCTCTCATCATTAAAGTTAAATTAAACAGCTGCATGCATAGGAATTGATTTATGCTTTTGGCATGACGTCTTCAAATACCAAATAAAATGTTGTGTGGAGACTATGTAGAAAGTGCAATATAGAGTTGGTGTTTCTGATTTTTAACACATGCAGATCTTCACAAGATGGTTGTCATGAAGATGATTGGAGTGATTGCTCTTTTAAACTTGCACCACCACCATCTTTAAACTCCTGTTACAAAAGTTTATCTATACCATTGTTTTTTGTTTTTGTAATAAGTGTCCTGTAGCAGATGAGATTGAAAGAGTTAACCAGGTTAAAGCAGCATATAAATCAGCAGTGGTAGGGTTTTATTTGAATACCACAGTTGGAGTTTAGTCCACTACACTAGTTCCCCTTCTTTTAAAATGGTATCTTTTGGAAATACCTTGAAATATTCTATTTTCACTGATAATGATGACTTAAGTTCTTTTCCAGTTCATACTAGAGTGAAAAATGACTTTTTAAAAATTTGAAAAACTGAATCACATTTTTATGTGTGCAGTGAAAGAAAAAGAAGATTTGCATCCAGATCCAGAAGGCCAATCCATAAAGGATGAAATCTTTGGTGAATACAGGTTAGTGAGACACACTGGTTTTTATAACAATGAATAACACAAACTAGTCCATGGGATACCTTTTTAATTGCAACACAAAAAGCAACAATAATTTACAAGTTTTGAAATGAAATGTCTTGGAATTATATTGTTATATAAATATATTTCAAATACCAGAATTTATGCACATTTTGTTGTAGGGAAATTGTGTGTGCAGTAGTGTTCAAATTTAGTATGTCTCTTACACAAAATGTTTTAAATATCTAGATAGTGACCTTATAATGAGATGAAGATTACAGTCTTAGGCCATCTCAGTTAGTTATCAAACAGAGAAGTAACATTGCCATTTCCCATCAATGGCCCATTTTACATAGTGAAGTCCTTGAATACAAATTTAGTACTCAGGTCTTGTTTCTCATAACTGGAGAAATGTTTTGCTATGGGGATTTCCTCTTAAGTACACAGAAAACAAGAACACAACCCATAGCATCTACATAATGGAAGAGCTTTATAGTTTCCAACTGGAATTTATCATGTAATTGTTGGCAGTCACTCTTTCGCAACATCCTTGCACCCAAATAAAGGAACATTATACTGGCAATTCAGCTATATATTGAAATATGTCAGACCTGTGTATAAAGAGTATATGACTCTGTCCTGATTGTGCATGAAAGAGCTGAACATTTTTTTTACTGCACCCAAATGATGTCCTATAAGAGAGAGAAAAATATTTAGTCCTACATAACTTCATATATATTCAGTTTTAATGCTTTCTAATGGGACAGATAATTAGAAAGGTAAGCAAGCCATGTAGGTTTCTTTCCAGATGAAATACTCAGCTCGCCTTCCTGCCTTAACTGTTCCTTCTAACAGTCTTCATCCTTACCACATCATTTATCCTGATCCATTCTTACCTTCTGTGTAGACATCTGTGCTCTAATTAAAATGAGCAGAATGCCAGTTTTTAGTGCCAATTTAGTACCGAAGTATACTATACTATAAATGCTTGCTAGTAACTGGTTCAAAGCTAGATGAGACTTGTCGACTATTTGCCATCAAGGCTGTCATTTTCATCATTAATTCAGGAACCTGTGGTCTTTCAGATATTCTGGACTTCACCTCCCAGAAACCTCAATCAGCATGAGAAAGAACAAGGGATTATGGAAGACATTTGAAATATATCAGAGAACCCAAGGTTCTCTAATGTTGATCTATTAGAAAAGGAACTGTCAATTTTTCCATGTGGATGTTTATATTGCACAATTTAATAGCAGTGTGGGTATCATGCAAGAATACTTGCTATACTTTCTTATAAAATTAATGTTCTGTAGACTAGAAGATAAGGAGAGGGCACAGCACTGTGAAACCACAAAGGCAAAAGTGTAATTGCAAAAAATTATGCCAAGAAAAAGAAGCATGGAAGAAGTGAAATAATACACTCCTGCTTCCATTACATTAGATAAGTAATATGCAATCTGCGTATTACTTTGTTTTCATGTTTTTATGGTACTCAGACCTATTCTTTGGAGTCCAATATGAAATTAAATAACACTGTACTTCATTCTATTGATGCCTGCCCAGTGTAATTCTTCCTATCAATTAGTAGCAACAGCCTCTTAGAGCAAACTATGTTAATTAAATTACAATAGGACAAGGGAAATATTTTTGGCTTACACAATCTTCAGCCACAGTGTAATAACTGAAGTGTCTGCAGCTAATGAGAACAAAGTAGGTAAAATATAAAGAATTTATTTCTACCTAGTAATCTTTGGTATGACAGGACAAACAGACTTAGAAGATTCTATGGCTAGGACCCTGAGTTAGCTTCTCCTAGGAGTACTCCTGAGCAGAATTATTTTTATGAACCATTCTCATTCCTGCAGAGGTGAAGGAACCTCTGAGAAAATGGGTAGGATGCAGGAAAAAAGAAAATTAGCAAAAATTGCCATTCTCCTTCTGCCACTAGATCCCCTGGAGGAACTCAGTCCCACCCATGAACAGAAGGAATCTTTTCATTAATGGAACCTTAGTGAGGATCTGTGAACTTTATTTCTGTCTAGTCTGTTATGAACAGTAAGTTTATACAGTGCTCCTGAAGAACAGTGTTACCTCTGTGGAAGAACCCAATAGCAGGCTAGACTTGGAAAACCTTCAACACAAAACCATCTTGCACTTTTGAATTTTCTTTTTGGATTAATTTTGAGGATATCGCCCATTGGCCAATGGTTGGCATGATGTCTGATGCCAAAAAAAAAAAAAAAAAATCCTGCTATGCCGCCCAGAGTAGACCATTGTCTAGATGGGCTGGGTATAGAATGAATGAATGAATGAATGAATGAATGAATGAATGAATGAATACTACATTCCAATTACCTTGACCACAAATATAGTTAATTGCTAGTATATTTTAAAGGCACATTAAAGTACATTAAAATCAGTTCAGTTCAGTAGGCATCCTTCAGTCTCAAGATACTGCGGTAACGTGCTCTGAATCGAGGACTCGGAACAGTATCTAGTGTGGCTGAGAAGGCCAATTCGAGAGTGACAATCCCTTCCACAGTGAAGACAAATACAACCTGTCCCCTCCCTGATTTTGCTGGTTTCGGGACTGTATCTTTGCCTCGGCCTGCAGGCCTTAAATTGTGATTGATTTTGCTCTAAATTAGACTGACTGACTTTTTCAAATATCTCATTTTATGCCCCATGCGGCCTCTTGTAAGTTTGAATCCCCTATACAAGATTCCTAATTGCTCTTTCCCTGATGCACATTCATGCTTCTCATAAGTGTTCTCCCCATTATTTTTTCTAGCGACAGTGATGAAAAGCCTCTCAAAGGAAGCCTGCGGTCTCTGAACATGGACATTAAGGCTGCAGAAAGCGCTGACAGTTTGGTGGATTATGGAGAAGGGGACCACAGAATGTTCAGTGAAGATGGTTCATTTATTGGCGCTTATACCGGATGTAAGGAGAAAGCATCAGCTGAAAGCATCGGGAGTTCTACAGCAACTTTTCCTCTCCATGCATAAAATATTAGCATGAATCATTCATTTCAAGTCACCATATTTATCTTTACTAGTCATCAGATATCATCCAAGTCAGAAATAGGCTGCAAAAAAAAGTTCAAGACCTCAGCATTCAGCCTTAGTAGAAATAGGGAGCTGACTTCAGAGCTGATTTGTGAAACTCTTCTTCTTTATGCCACAGGCATTTCCATCCCATTAAAATGTGACTCAGAACTAAAATTTGATACGACACATGCCACTCAGTCTGACCAAAACCTCAGCTACTTCCGTGTTATATATGTTTGTGAATGTATATATATATATATATGGGGACATGATACCTTCTGTGTTTCTTACAGCCCAGGTCTATAGCTATGTGTGGCTATAGCAGCAATCAAACAATTTACACTAACATCATATTACTACTACTGTGTCTCTAGTTTGGACAGTGGGCCTATTTTTCCTGATGTAATCCTATTATGAATGTTTACTGGATATAAAGAGCAACTGGGCTGTTCTGCTAACAAAACAGATTTCAGCCGGGGCACCAAAAAGGACATCAGCCAATGACTCCTTTTGCCTTCCATAGCCCCCATGTTGTGCACCCTCAAAATTTCTCCCAAAGGGCAGGTTTGGGTGCAGTGTGGTGGGCTACCAGCAGTGAAAGAGAGCCCCATTGTCTTAGTTGGCAACACTGCATTTGAGCTGTAAGATTGCACTGGCAAAACTGCCCCATCTTAGCCAATGCTTTTTTGGGGTCTCATTCAAGAAAATAATTTCCAGTCCTTCCTTCACTACATTAGCTCTAGTAGTCAGTTGTGTGCTGCACAATACCTCTGAACTTTTCCTATAATGCACCTCGTCTTGCTAAAGGTGGCTGCTCTTAGTGTTTGAGCAGTGACCTACAGGGTAGCAGTATGCCATCTTGTATCAGAAACACTACTGGTGCAGGGCATTTTAAAACTTATTTGGCACACTGTACATAGTAAAACAGGGTCTTAACTAGAACCCTTTTCTTGTCTTGTTTCTGTTCCTCTGTATATATTCTTCCAACACACCCAAAGTTCCCCAATAATCTGATATAGCCTCAGTATTACAGGGATCACAGACACCAGACAGGGAAAGCAGCAACACTTGCATACAGGAAGACATTGTAAGTGAAAACTGCATTCCATATGAGACATTATTTAATATCCCGAAGGAATCATCCCATTGGTTTTCGAAATTGTACTCTGTGTCACTGGCAGCATCTTAGGAAGACAGAATGATCTATCTACAAAAAAAGCTGTTTTCAAAGCTACTGTAACTTCTATCTCTTTTCCCCACTAGCTGGCACTCTTTCTTTATGCAATCAGCTGCAATAACCTTCCTATGATTGTGAACAGTATATGGCTGATTCAGAGATGTGGAGCTCTAGTTAATACAAATAGATCTCCTGTCTCTCACCCATGAAATATGAAATGAATTCTTTTTTTATGGAGAGTGCTATCTTCAAAAGCATGTTCAGTGTAGCAGCACCCTACCTGTATATTAGTATGGAGAAATACCAGTTGTGAATTGTTGTACATATTATGTTCACATTGATTTATTCAGGTCCACCCATACCTGGTTTATCTGCAGACAGATACAATGGTAGCACAGCGTTATTCATTGAGTAGCTACTGAGTTTCTCCTGCGGGTTGGATTTCTTTGAATAGGAACACTTTTGCCTATAAAATGTGTTGAGAAATATTTCTAACAAATTCCTCTCTCCCATCATCTTTTGTAAAACTCTTACTTTGAAGTCTTCATGACTATTTTAACATTCATCTGGGTTCCTATTTACATTGTGTTGAATCAGAGCAAATGTATTTTCTGAGAAAGCCTTTTATATGTGACCTTTCAGTACACACAGTACACAAAGTACTATATTGGATATAAGAAGCAACAATTATCCAGAGTTACTTGAATGATACATATAAGTTGTCTTAATTAAAGTTATATTGGAGGCTGTTGCTTGAAAAACTGTTCTGAGATGAACAAGCCTCAGTATTTTGTGTGAAAACAATATTAATTTGCTCCTCAGCCTTATCCTAGGCAAGAATTTGCTGATAAACCTGCTCCATGCATTTTTTATTATGAGCATGTGCAAATAAATTTTTTTCATTACTTTGATTCTCTTTTAACTCGTTTATAGATGCAGTTCAATTAAGCAGGTTATCCCTTGAGACTGCATCACAGGTCCCTATTGCTTCAAGCAGATTGTTAGAGCATTTTATCCAGAGCTTACTAAGGAGGTATTTTAGGTCGTCATACTATAAGCTTAAAGTGCTAAAACCTTAGTATAAAATGAAGGGAATCTGAAACATTTCAACTAGATCTGGAGATACCACCATTCATCTTGTCTTTGAGCACATGCAAAGTATCAAGTGCTTTATGTGGGGTGGCCAGGGAACTGGCCAGATGCAAAAAATTCCATCTGCTTCCCATGTGGAAAGTAGCTTGTGTCTCATCTGGTCCACCAGCAGTCAATGTGTGAAGCTGACTTCTCTGAGCGAGTCCAAAACCTAGAAGAGATACCAGAGCTTGAAAAGGTTACTTCTAAAATTATTACTTCAGTTGCTTCTGATAATGATGGCTGGGTAATCCTAGGAAATGTATTCCAAATAAGAAACATTTCTGAGCTCTGGGACGCCTCTCTGATTCAGGACTAGCATTAGAGGTTGGTGTAATTGAGCCTGTTCCAGCAGATGGCCCCTTGCCAGGCATCTGGTCGAGCTTTTTACCTTCATAAGCTATGCTCTCATCTGTCATATCCAAGCATCTGAAGAGTGACAGAATCCACCTGTATGCATATATTGACAGATGGACACAGTATGTACTTAATGAATTAAACTAACAGGAAAGAAGGCGTCTACACTTGCCTTTATCCTTTCCGTCTGAGCCCAATTGGGAAATGAATAGTGTTCATAGTGGAGGGGATGCCTGCTCAGGGAAGAGGGGAACATCTTGCTCATGGTCCTTGTAAAACCTGGAGCCAGTCCTGTTATACATATTCTATTACAGGCCTTCTGCACATAATATAGCCAGAGGGCTACATTCCTTAACTTGTCAGCAATTTCCCCACTTAACACTTACTGAAGTGAAAGGGAAAAGTGGACTTCCTACTCTGTTCTAAGGTTTTACCTTCTTAAATTCATATTGTGTAGTTTGGACTTTATGGCCTTATAAGGCCTCTTCCAACTCAATTATTCTGTGATTCTATAATTCTGTGTTTCCCAAACTTTAACACAATATCTACCAGATTCTAAGATAAGAGTAAATAGGCCATAAAATACAGTCTTTTAAAAAAGAAAAACTAAGCTATTCTATGATACAAAAATTTCTAGATGCTGTCAATAAAGAAAAAATCTGTCTCTGTACTGTAAACCATATGTGAGAAGGCAGAGTTCCAGCAAACTTGATTTCTTGGCATGCTTTTGTTGGAGGGGAAAAATAATTTATTTCCTACTGCTGAGAACTGTCAGGAACTTTCCATTACTGCACATCTGAATCAGGAAAACAGCCCATTGCACTGCAGGGTTGTTTTTCTAACTCAGACCTACATTAATTGAAAGTTGGAGAATTGTAATCAGGTCCTACTCTAAGTCCCAGTTCTATGCGAGACAACAAAGGATTACATCCAGTTGTTATCCCCACTAGAGTAGACATATTAAATCGATTAGATTTACATAAGCATTAACTTCAGTGTAATTGTTTTATACTTATTACCTCATTGGGACTAACAATCAGATTTAGTAAATAATGCAAATCTGAAGCATCCATCTTTTCTTAAGAACCCATGTTGGACAAAAAAAACTGCACTGGGCTGTAAGAACCTCATATTGATCATCACAGGAAAGGAAAGGAAAGGAAAGGAAAGGAAAGGAAAGGAAAGGAAGAAAGAAAGAAAGAAAGAAAGAATATGCTCCAGCATTTAAAATAGTAAGAAAGAAAGAAAGAAAGAAAAGAAAGAATATGCTCCAGCTTTTAAAATAGTCTTTGCCAATACTTCAGTGTCCTTTTTGTGTTCTACTCCCTCTATAAATGCTTTTATTTCTTACCCCTTAAGAGTGATGCCTGATAGCTGAAATACTCAAAATGTCAAAAATGCCCAAATCTGCATTGACCTGTTACAAGTATGCATCCATTGGACAATAATGAAAAGTGTACTTGAAGAAGGCGGCCAAGCAATGCCATTATCCTCCAGATGACACTCACTAGCACCTTTTAAAACAAATTGAAAACCTTTTAAACATACTTACTCATGAAATATATAATTCTTTTGAGAAACCTATATTGTGAAAACAAAATATTAATATTTTACAATGTAAATTTAATTGGTAAAACAAGGAATCTAGAAAATAGAGTTTGATTTTTTTTGCAGAGACGTTCTGTTTCCTATTTAAGATGACAATGATACTATTATCTTAAAAATGGGAGTAATGAGAAGCCTCTCAGTGCAACTTCAATAATATTTGATACTTCACATGGTAAGCAAATAAACTGATACTTTGTGTTTTCATTTTTGTCATTTTCACAACTATAACTAGACATGGAACTGTGTGCTCATAAACAAGATAAACTGAATTGCCCTCCCAACCCTGGAATGAAGACATGAGACAAGAATTATGGGTTAATCACGGGCCACACTTTATTAAATATAATCTTTTGGCAAAGGGGGGTCCTTCCATAGTGCGAAATCAGGTTGAAGCACAAAGGTCTCAAAGGACCCCTTAAGCAACAAATGGGCGAGTTCCTAGCCCCAAGTTCTCTCAGTCTTAAAGACTGTGAGAACCTCGCCGACCCCAGTTTGACCACCCCAGGCCTCAAGCCAGCTTCTCCTTGTTGACTGTTGGTCCAGGTGTGGCCCCAACGCATCTTTCCCCCCAAGCACTGTAATCGCACGATCCTCAGTGGTGAGAGGTCAGATGGGCTATATCTTACCTGAGTTTGCAAATGGGACTCGCCAACAAGACCTGTTATATCCGCACTATCCACCAGTGTGACCAATTTTCCACCTTTAAACATCCAGTGCGCCTGTTCCAGTGTGGAATAAGCAAAAAATCCCCGCACTAAAATGCCAATCAGGATACGGGTCAAAAATTCCTATCCTGCCCCATAGGCAACCAGATAAGCTCACAGTAGAATAAAGGGCGGCCAGGTGGGTGCCAGCAAAGGAAGAGGACGAGGGGTGGTGGTTACGGTTCTTAAATAAAGTAATGTTCCCCCCTCTCCTCCTCGTGCTATCCAAGGAGGGAGGCAAAGGCTCAGCAGCAGCTCGAGCATTGCCTCAGCAGCAGCTCGAGCATTGTATTCAGACTGAGCCAGAAGCATCAAGTAATTATTCTAATGATCATGGCTGGTGTAAAATCTTAAATTAACACTGGCTGTTCCTGCTGTCTGTATCCATTTACATCTCAGTTCACACTAGCAATGGATCCTGTACATAGAAATAGTCGGAAAAGAGTGAAAAAAAGGACCTGGTGGGTTTGCATGTAGAAAACAGAGCTGGCCATACCATTAGGCACACATCACTGGCCACTTTAGATAACAAATTTGTGTTTCTTAGACAGAAAGCAAATTGCTAGTTATTCAAAGGAATATTTTTTAAAATTTCTTACTACCAGGGAGAGGAATTTAGACAGTTTTCTGTTAGAGGTGGCAGACTGATTTGGCTAACTTTGACTACGCACCTTGACTTGGGGAAGAAGGATGTCATTTATTACACCATCTCAGGCAACAATAGATTTTGGGCTAGTTCAGGTCCAGTATCTCAAGAGTGTCTCATCTGCAAGATCAAAGAGAACTTCAGCATTTATAATCATAACCATGTGGCATCAAGTCAATTCCAACTTAACAGCAATTTTATAGAGTCTGTTATTTGTGCCAAAACTAGGGAAATTGCTTGAAAGATAAGAAGAAAAGGGAAGGAAAAAATATCAAAATTTGTGAGGCAGCAAGTATGCCGGTGACAGTGGTAGCTGATCAGGTGGGGCATGAGTGCGCTACTTCAGTGAAGGAGGATGTGGTGGTAAGGAAAAACACAGGGGCTGCCACTGCACAACACAATGCTGCAGCCCATGTGTTGGACACTGTCACTGATATCTACTGAATAGTCATACATCCACTTTATGTTGAAAGAGCAGTCCTTCTCCATTTTTTGCTAACGCCATTGGATTCCAGTGTCAGCACTGAATGGTACTCATGCTCTAGTTGTAGCATGAGGGTATGGGGTAGATGGGGTAGATTCACCCCATATTTGTCATAAGACCAGTCTGTTATTTTTAACATCATATTATGGACTAAAAGGTGACGGGACCTGATGATAACCTTGGATGACTTTGCACAAGCAACGCATTGCTGCATCATATTCATGTGTATCCACAGTTCTCTGCAAATGGGAATATATCTGCAGTTCACAACTAATTTTTATTTCATTTTTATACGTAATAAATCTACCACCAAACTGTTGGTTTCATGTGGGATTGATATGTGTGATCGGCTTCACGAAAGAAGAGAGTATATTCAAACCAGAGCTTGTTCTGACATGCTACCACTATCACTGGAATAAGGTGCAGTGCAACTTGAGCCCTATTCAGACATTCTGCTTGTATGTGTATAGGGCTCAACCAGTGAAAGAGATGTAAGTCCTACCCTTCATGCCTCCCACCTACCTGGGAATCCTACAGACATCCGTGTGTTCAGTGCGAAGGTCTGCACAGGCACCGTAAGCACATCCAGTGCCTACACAGTTCTTCATGTTGAACAGGCAAAGATCTGCAGGACTTCTGGGTGGAGTGGCTGGTAACTTCACATGCAATCCCATGAAGCTGACAATATTATAAGGCTATATATATGTAATTGTAAGTTACTCTCTCTTACTGAAAGAGGAAACAATTACCTTTTGTTTTGCTGTATTTGTAAATATTGTACTTGAAAACATTTCAACAAAAGAATAGTCACAGCAAAAACAGTGATATTGTAGCAGATAATATCAAAGGATTTAGGATGCTATAGCTTCATGTAGTAAGTTGCAACTAGAATAAGCCAATTGAATCAATGGAAGTTTGGCAATTCAGCTCCTCGGCAAGTTTTATTAAATCATATGGGCCTAGTCTAGTTACTTT